TAATACGTAGCACTACATAATTCGAAGCATTGAGGTGATTCATCCCCGTGGTATTAAAGTCGGCTATTCTTTTCTCACTCTAACAACTGAAGTAAACACGCCTTTGGCTCCGTAGGACGACAGCATCATTGCAAACATCCATGACACCAAAGCCTACGCCCCATAAAGAATCGGGGTTGTTGCTGCGCAACTTGATCCGCATCCAATCACCAGGATATACACATCTTAGTACTCAGCCTCAAGACCCTCCTCACCCTCGAGGGAGTCGGCAGCAACCTCCTCGTAATCGCGCTCCAGAGCAGCGAGATCCTCACGAGCCTCGGAGAACTCACCCTCCTCCATACCCTCACCAACATACCAGTGAACGAAGGCACGCTTGGAGTACATGAGATCGAACTTGGTTGAAAGAGCGGACCAGGCTTCGGCAATGGCAGTGGTGTTGGAAAGCATGCACCTGGGATGACTGTCAGCGACATACATTCTCACTCTTGAGCGATCCTAGCAGAACTTACACAGCACGGCTGACCTTGGCGAGGTCACCGTTGGGCACCATCTGGGGAGCCTGGTAGCAAATACCAAGCTTGAAGCCAGTAGGGCACCAATCGACGAATTGGATGGTGCGCTTGGTCTTAAGAGTGGCAACAGCGGCGTGGGCATCGTTGGGAACGACGTCACCGCGGTACAGCAAGCAAGTAGCCATGTACTTGCCGTGGCGGGGGTCACACTTGACCATCTGGTTGTTGGGCTCGAAGCAAGACATGGTCATCTCTTGGACCGAGTTAGCCTCGTGGGCGGCCTTAGCGGCCGAGATCATGGGCGCGTAGGCGACCAGAGGGAAGTGGATGCGAGGGTAGGGGACCAAGTTGGTCTGGAACTCGTTCAGGTCGACATTGAGGGAGCCGTCGAAGCGGAGGGAGGCGGTGATGGAGGAAACGACTGCAGAACACTCGTCAGTATTCTACGTTTCTGACAGGACGCGTTTAGTTATTCTTGTTCTTGTAAAACTTACCTTGCGCGATGAGACGGTTGAGGTTCTCGTAGTTAGGGCGCTCAAGGCCCAGGTTGCGACGGCAGATGTCGTAAATGGCCTCGTTGTCGACCATGAAGGAGCAGTCAGAGTGCTCGAGGGTAGTGTGGGTGGTGAGGATAGAGTTGTACGGCTCAACAACAGAGGTGGCGGTCTGAGGGGCGGGATAGACACAGAACTCGAGCTTGCTCTTCTTTCCGTAGTCGACAGAGAGACGCTCCATAAGGAGAGCGCCGAACCCAGAGCCGGTACCACCACCGAATGAGTGGAAGACGAGGAAGCCCTGAAGACCAACACAGTTGTCGGCAACACGGCGGACCTTGTCGAGAACCTGGTCAATGAGCTCCTTGCCAACGGTGTAGTGGCCACGAGCGTAGTTGTTGGAGGCATCCTCCTTGCCAGTGATCATGTGCTCGGGGTGGAAGAGACCGCGGTAGGGGCCAGTGCGGACCTCGTCGACGACATTGGGCTCAAGATCGCAGTAGATGGCACGGGGGACATACTTGCCCTGGCCTAGACACATTCCGTTTGGTCAGTACAGTACTCAATAAATGACGCGGAAGTTTTGTCAGATCAAGATCGTACCAGTCTCGGAGAAGAAGGTGCTGAAGCCATGGTCGGGGTCGGCAGCCTTGCGCTCCTCGGTCAAGTATCCATCGGGCTGGTGAGAGTTGCACGTTAGCATGCTAAACGGAATGAAAACGAAGACGTGTTGGAAGCTTACCTGAATACCGTGCTCGAGGCAGTAAAGCTATAGGACGTTGACGATTAGTTTGTTTCCTTCGAGTTGGCGTTCCCAAATTTATTGTCTTCGAGTATCGCTTTGACAAGTCGTTTTCAACAGTCGATTCGGCGATATGGGGGTATCGAACAAAAACGAGAAACATACCTCCCAGCAGGAGTTGGCGATCTGGCAACCGGCCTGACCGACTAAAGGAACAAGTTAGCAAGTGTTCAAAGGCAAAAGATCAAATAGCCGTTATGGTAGGCGATTGCGGCATGCGCATCTGGTAGCTGGAGGTGAGGATGCGGTGAGGGCGGACGCGTGGGGTCGGGGGATCAAAACAAAAGTCGGATCTGCTTACCGTTGATGCTGATGACCTCACGCATATTGACGGCAAATTGTATGAGGTTAAAGACAAGCGACTGAAAGAGGAGAGCAAAGAAGCAGGGCTCGAGGAGGTGAGAAGCAAGCAAAAAATGTCGTCTTTGCAGCTATCACGAGAGGATGTCGGACAGGAGGTTGAAAAGGTTAGGTTAGGCCTGGCAAGTGCAAGGGGAAGGAATAATAGGTGCTGGGCTCGTGCTTGTGGTCTTTTGGGTGGTGCAGTGGACTGCCAACTGATGGTGCTTGCTGGCAGGACCGGGGCGCGGAGACCTTGGGACGTGAGGTGAGGTGGGACGTGGGACGTGGGACCGGGTTCCTCAGGTGGTCGAGAAATCGGGGTGGGGTAGGAAATTTGGTGCGCCAGGGGCCGTGTAGCGAGTCCAGCGAAGTTTTGTTGATATGAACGGGCCCAAAGTGGTAAGCGCGTCTGCCCACGGTCTGTTGTCGTTGGCGATGCCGTCCAATGGCAGGAGCGCACGACGGGAGGCACCGGGGATGTCTTATTGGCCCCCTGAATGGGGGACTCGGCAGGTACAGGGCAACTCTGGGTACGTATATCGGAACCTGGCACGCTGGGAAACATTGGAGAAATCGCTCTGCGGGCTAATCTGCCATTGGCCGGCAAGGTTCACCGCACTTCTACGTAGTAAGGTTCCTCAGGAAAGTTGTGTTAGGTGCTTAAGGTAGGTAGGTCCCTTCCATTCTGTCGTTCCTCGGTTGGAATGACAGCTCGCAGTGCAGGAGGTGAAGGAACTATGTATTTATTTATTACCGTACCTTATAAGAGGTATCACACAGTACAATACAAGAAACCTTCAAGCCGGGTTGATCCAATCTTTCTTTCCAAGACGTGTTCCACGACGGTTAGAAATGGAGACACCGGCCAGGCCTTCCTGCATTCATGTATGGGTACCTAAGCTCTTGGGCAACTGAAAATCGAACAGTTGTTGAAGAAAAAGTCTCGAGACATTCATTTTGCGAAACACGGAATTGAATCTATGCAGACGAGGGTATACGCTAGATGGGGATAATTTTCTTCTATTTGGCTCTGACAAGGCCTTCAACAGCCTTCCAGCATCAGAAACAAGCTCAATCAAATGACGGCCGTTGGCTAACCCCAAACACAAGAGTCACTTCATACGGAGCCCGCATCCATACCCAAGGTCCATACCTACCCAAGTGAAAGTCGATTAGTAAGGCGGGTTCAGCACCTCACCAGGCTCCAGGAATCCTCGATCGCCGAGTGGAAACAGGACCCATCGGCGAACCGCGGTGGCGGTAATAATGCAGCAGCCTGGCGTTGTGTCAAAATGGAATTCGATAAAGACGTTTACTGTTTCATGTGGAGGTAAAGTCGGAGCCTAAGATCTAAGACAGGAGAAGGCAGAAGAGAGAGGTAGAAAGGGGCCAAAAGCCACCTTGAGAGAAGATTGCTAGCAGCCTGCAGAGCAACAGTTACAAGTAGGTGCTATGGTAGGGGTTGAAGAATGACAGTCCAATCCTCTCAAGCGCCCCGTCCCCTCACCCTGCATCCCTGTCTCACACTCGTCTGGCCGAGTAATCCCTACCTATCAAACAGCTTCACTCAACTACATCGCTGATCACCATATTGTCCACCACCGCCACACCTCATCACAACAAAAGTAGTCCAGGCAGCCGGTTAACTCCTCAAGGCTTCCGAACATCTCACAACCGGAACCTGCTGCCTCATCGATACCTAGCCAACAGACCACTATGCGTCTAGCCTCCGCCGCCGGCCTCGCCCTGGCCTGCTGCCTTGATGTTGTTCGGGCCAATACCGAAAAGGTCATCTTTCTCGGCCCTGAGACGGTCAATGTTCCGACCACGCCACCAACAATTCAGGACCTCCGTTTAGACGTCCTCACGCCCGATGAGTGGTCCAAACGGGTTCAAATGCCAGCGTCATTTCCAACCTCGGACTCTCCACTGGGCACGACATCCTGGCTGCTGCTCACAAACTTGACCCAAGGCCAGCGTTATGAACTTCGAGTTTGTTGGTCGGCCACTGTACGTTATTTGGTGAACCCTGTTACTATCTGGAACTGAATTCTCATTATATACAGCAACCCACTGCATTCGCACTCGATGTCTTTGAGCTGCCCGCTGTATGGGATACTCCGGAGCTCATTTCATCATTGGCAACTTATGCATTCTCGCGTCAGTCTGATCAGGACGATGCCAACGAGCACCAAGCTTCGCAGAGCAGAGGACGGGAGCAAGAAAGTTCGCTGTTGTTTCTCCGGGTTTCGGCCTCGGCGGACTATTTCACAGACAACGACACACTCATGGCCAAAGTCGAGCCCGTCAGCGTTGACCTGATCCTCGACCCGTTCTTGTTCAACGCTTTGCCACGGTCCTTGATGCCTACCGTCGCTTACATCGTACTCGTGGCGCTTTCAGCTTGGTTCTTATCTAACCGCATTCTCGCTTGGATTCAACCAGTACTCGCCGATGAAGACCGGTCCACGGAAACGAAGAAGAGGCTCTGAGCACGTAATCAATGCAACGCGTCGCCTTCTCCATGCATTCATCTCTTGCTCAAAATGAAAGGACCTCTAACGACAGGAATTCCATTGGGTACAAAAAAGCCCCCGCGTCTTGCTTCAAATAATATCCAAGGCTCGTCGCACATCTCCCATCATCAAGCAGCAAGAATTGAGGGAGAGGACAAAGTCCGCTCTGCCCGCCAAATTGGCATTCCCCTGCGTCATTCTTGAGCATATCTTACTAGGGAAAACGAACGGCTAGGTGCAACAATCCATGTATACTGTTGACGTCGAAAGCCGCACCAAGTCTCACTCAGCTACGGGAGCACTCTTTGAATATACGCCTCTTCACAGACATCTAGTAGTGATTGCCATAGCTAGGTTGTTGAGAAGGCTGGCCGCCGTACGAAGGTTGGCTGGGATAGCCCCCTCCAGTCTGAGGGCCCTGAGGACCATTGCTATAGGTGGCGGGGTTATATCCTCCGTATTGTTGTTGTTGCTGGTTGTGCTGCTGGTTTGGCTGGGCGCCATAGCTGGGCTGCTGACCATACGAAGGGGCACCGCTGGAGGGGGGAGGTGGGTAGGACTGAGCATGGGACTGTTGAGACGGCGCGCCGTAGGAGTTGTTGTGATGAGATTGTCCTTGGTTTGGCGGAGGGGGGTATTGATTAGGAGGTGGAGCATATGACTGCTGCGAATGGTTCTGGCCCTGGTTCGGCGCAGGAGAGTGGTATGAACCCCCCGCTGGAGTAGATGAGTGCTGGTTATGCGAGGAGGAACCAGGTGGCTGGTAAGAAGTAGGAGGAGCCTGGCCGGTGTAGCCACCGCCTCCGCTGCCACCAGAAGCATTGTTGGAGTACCCGAAATCGTTGTTGCCCTAGATGCTCAAGTCAGTCATGCGCCTGGCAACTAGAGTGTACTCTCTGACATACACCGTGGCTCTGCTTGTTTCCGCCAAACATGGTGGCAACGCCACCCATTAGAGATCCAGCCAGACCACCTTGTTGTTGATGACTCGATGACTGGCCGCCGTGGTAGTTTTGTGACTGGCCCTGCTGAGACTGCTTTCCGCTCGAGAGCAGGCTTGAAGCTAGAGAGCTGCCAATCTTGCCCAGTGAACTCTTGCCGCCCCCGCTGCTACTCCCGTGACTGTTACCGTGCCCACCGATACCGTTCATCAATTGACTGGCAATGCCACCGAAGGGGCTTGAGCTGCTTTGGTTGCCGGAAGAGGAGCCGTGATTCGAGTTCTTGCCGCTGCCAAGAAGCGCATTCATGGCCATGCTCTGGGGAGGGACCCAAGTCAGTAATCGTATTCGAACACAAAACAGGAATCAAGCAGCGGGCGGGAAACGCGCGAATAGGGTATATGGAGAGGGGAAAGGGTCGCATGACACGTACGCCGAGTCCGCGATCGCCTGTCTGACCGTCGATGCCCCTCGTACTGGTAGTGTCGGGAGGCATGGAGGGGTTGACGGGTTCGAGGGTGCCATCGGCATGCTTCACCGTCTGGCTGCCGTCGGGATGGGTGATGACCTCGGGTTGAGGAACACCATAGGGGTGATCGGAAGGTTGAGCAGGTGTCGCGCCGGTGGGCGCGGCATCAGTCGGGGTCTCCCATTGCGAGACACCCGTGGAGAGCTGCACGAAGTAGTACTTCTTGCTCGCACCATCCCACTGGGCAATCCAGCCAGCAGGAAGATGGGGCGGGGCATACGTGGGGCCTTCAGCGCCCGGTGAAGTTGGCCCTGCCATAGGAGAGAGTACAGAGGTCGTCGTCGAGTCGGTATGGGCGCAAAAGAGAGCCAGAGGGCGGCGGATATGATGCTACGGCTGGAGGGGATCGCCAACAATGGACGTGTGGTGTTGACGGAGACGAAAAGTGGCGGGGAAGGACGACAGTGCGGTAAGGTATTGATGAATCCAAGGTAGGTAAGTAAAGGTCTGGATGGATACCGTACGTCTGCGGGTAGGTGGTGGGCGTATCGGCACTAATACAGGTGGGTGGCCCCAGGGTACAGGCAGTGCAGACAGACTGGATCACAGCCCAGAGCAGATGGCAACCCGGGTTTAGGAGCTCAGGGTTTTATAAGGTAGAGTTCCGTTGCCAAATGGGACTGAAAGAGGGGGCCCATACATCCATTGCTGCTGCTGCGCTCTGACTGACTATTTACCCATTTCCCACAAAGAAGCCCGGGCGATATGTTCAGCCACCACATGGACTGACACAGGCACAGACAAGACTCGAGTCTGTCGAGAGAGGGCAAGAGCACGGCAGCTGCTTCAGGGCTGGCTTGGCCAGGGTAGATGGCTACCTTATCTTAATGGAAAGTGGGTAAGATGCCTTTGGTGACTGGTTTGCGGTAAACATTGAGAGGATGTGGTAAGAGTAACCCGCAAGATGTCCAAGATGACGGCAAGGAACTTGTGCCTACCTACCTACCTACCTCACGAATAGAACCAAAAATACCTTGCCTACCATGTCGTCAAGTTTGAACAGACTTCTATCTTCAGTGTGCAACAAGGTAGCCAAGCGCCAGACCTGACCAACATTTGGCGACGAAAGGGCACTGCCAGAAGTTGGACAATTATAACTGGAATGAACTGCCCAGGTTCTCTCTGGTTGGGTGCTTGTGTTGGGCGCCGGTGGAGTCGGGTTTGGCTGGGGCGTGGCAAAGCGACTGCGATTGCGACCATTTACGACCCGGCACCTCATATTCTATTACCTACCTACCTAGGTAGGTAGTTTCCTCTCCGCGTACCTTGGATACCCAAGGGTATCGGTGTTCACGATGGACGTGAAAGAGCCCGAGGAACACGGTAAGTATTTCACAGCCCACTCCGTACCTTACAAGATATTGCTGGATTGCGCTTTCCTGACAGCCAGACACAGCCTCAACAGAGTTGCTGAACGTCGCTGCTCAGCCTATCTACCTTCATCTAGGATGTATCTGACCAAGCCACAGTCCACGCATCTGCGGTGAGATGCTTAGGTACCGAGGTGGGCGGCCTCTGAAGCTTGGTTCTCGTTGCAGCTGCCCACCTAAGGTACGCAGTAAGGTAGCCCTGGCAGTTCGAGTCCAGGCCAGGTCTGTGATCTACCAGCCACATATGGCCCCCACTGGGAGTGGCTGAGGCTGTAGACCGAGGAAACCCCGGCCATCAACATCGTACTATGGAACTCGACTCTATAGAGGTCGAAGCACCTTTGTGGTATCAAGGAAGAGTCACATTCAATAACAAACTATCCGTAGTGAAAAAAAACACAAACACAGAGATAGGTCACATTCGGTCAAGAAACAATGAATGCAGGTCTGCAAATCCCCGCAAGATCATCCCTCTTAATGGCTATGATGTGGGCTAACTGGGTCTCATTGCTTGGGGTCTCGATTGGTGCTAAAAATGAAGACGTTAGAATGAGTGAACAATGCAGCAGCACAAGTCTGAATACATTAAATTTAAAGTGGTGATGTATTGTCGTTCGTTGCCTAAGACGTCGTTCAAGTCATCGAGCACCGCTAATTCAAAAGCTCTTGGGTGTCATCGCCCCTGTATCAACTTCGCCCAAGAGGCTTGGTGGGGAGTCGGATGGATTCTCGATACCCAGGTCCTTCCAGATGTAGATGCGGGCAAGTATCGTACATATGCTTTCAATATGCACAAAAGGGCAAATCTACCTGCCCCGGCGTCATCTATGATATAATTACTTGCCAAGGCTTTACCAATCCCTCGTCTCCGGTGGTGACCAACATCTCTTCGCTCCCCTTCCTCTCCGTACCTGCGTCATATCGTTTGCACCATGTAATGTGGTTGATCTCGTACGGGCCGTGGGCGTTGGGCACCTCTGCTGCAACGCGCCACTTGCTTGATCCCACAGGTACATCATCCGGCTTTCCGCCCTCGGTGGCCTCGTCTGTCTCCATCGGTACGACATCCCCGGCACCATTCACCTTGCCTTCCTCAGTCTCGTCCTCCTGGTACACCACGATGATGCTGTCGCTCCCCGTACTGGCCACCAGCCCCGTCGTCGCACTCCAAGTCGCCGAGTAGATATCGCGCGTGTGTGCCTTGGGCAGGATCGCCGTGCACACCCATTCTTCGCGCAACGATCTCCGCATTGTATTGGGAATACCTCCCAGCCCACCGCCGAAGCCTCCGCGGCCACCCGCCTCGTTCTCCTCGTCCTCAACTTGCAGCGTCCATATCCGTATTGTTTGGTCGGCCGAGTAACTGAGCAATCTTGGGAAGGCGCCGTCTTCTCTCGGTTTCTCCTCCCATTGCACACCCCACACGGTGCCCTCGTGGCCCTCCAGCACCGACACGCAGACCCATTCGCCGTCACCGTCTTCGCGCCATATGCGCACAGTGTTATCGTAGCTGCTGCTTGCGAGGACGTCGGCGCTGTACCTCCTCCGCGAGTTGCGTCCCGGCACGTCAGGGCACCACGCGATACCCTTCATGTCACCGTTGTGCTCATTCAGCACGGCGACCGTCTCCCACTCGTCATCCCCTTCGGTGGCGCCCACGTCCTCCCATATCCATACCGTTTGGTCTCTACTGCACGTGGCGAGATATGCGCCGGATGGCGCAAAGGAGACGCCCTTGATCTCTGAGTCGTGGCCCTCGAGTACGAGAGTGAACTCCCAGTCCTTCTCGCCATCGCTATCCGCATCGTTGAGGGAGCGGCGTGCCGCCTTGCTCAGGTCGATCTCGAGGGGTTCTGCGGCGTTGACGCCGTCGCCAGAAAACGGGAGTTCGCCGTCCCAGCGCCAAAGTCCAGCGGTGGAATCAAAACTACCGGTGACGAGGCATAGCTGGTGAGGAGGGAGATTGGGTTTCCAAGCTACCGAACGTATGGAGCGGGTGTGGCCACCAGTCAGGGTACTGTGGGAGGAAAGAGACGAAAGCGAGAATATCTTGACTGATTTGGAATATGCCGTGGCGATGAGTGGAAGCGTAGGGTGAGGTACGGAGCACCAGGCACGCTCGTAAAGATCGGGTGTGAAGGGCGTGAGAGGGAGGACCTGGACCGCCGTTTTCGGCGCCTCTACCAAGGGACTCATTTTGATGGCGGGGTTGCTGTGAAAGGGAGGTCTTGGTGATGGTTAGAGAGTAGGTGCTCCAGATCCAATTCATAAATGGAAAAAATGCTGGGTTTCGAAAGAGAGCGTCAGGATACTGTGATAGACCGGCACATCGAGATACCGCCTATCTGGGGGTGCAATTCCTCAAGAAGGCCGTTGAGTGTGGGCAAAGTACCTATGGGAATGATTTGTTACGATGCACGATTATCAACCACTATCAGTCAGGTAGGTAGAGAGATACCTTAGGTATGGACCTGATGCTGAGTGATGCAATCAATGCCCCTCCACACCCCGGCGGATTTTTTTTCGCAGTGAATGACAGGCAGTGAGTGGGGGGAATATGCCCCGCGTTGCTTGGGTCCGTCAAGTCAAGCCCGCCCAGGCGACAGATGTTCGGGCAATCGTTGTTCCTACCGGTACCCCACTGTGCTCGGACCCGGACTTCGGCCCCATCTTTCGAGCCCACGTCCGTGCATCCCGGGAAGTTTCCGTCATTCTACCGTGACCCTCTACCGCTCCATGACTCTGGGGATGGAATTAAGTCCGCTGATAGCTTCTTGACCCATTCGTCGCCCAACTCCTCACGGCAGTCACTCTCTTTGCCACTCTCAGCGCTTCCAAGCCAAGGTAGCTTAGACATTAGCTACCAACCCGAAGCGCCCTTCTTCATCGGACCAACCAATCTCAATAGCTTTGTTGTAGGATGTCACAGACAGATAATACTGAGACTAGTAGCACACAGAGAACGATAGATGAGCCATGTCAGGCAATCAGTCCGACTACCTTTAGCTATTCTTCTTTCTGCAGAGTAACGAATAAGTCCCACATGTCACGTCAAGACGGGTAAGAAATAAGCTTCTGCGTATTGTACAAACAGAATCTCGAAGTTCTCACGGTTGCCAAGCAGCGATACTCACTTTGAAATACCTTTTGAGGACGATCATCAAGCCAAGATTCTGCTGCTTGTTTCCGTCCTTCTCCAGTCTGTTGTAGAAGGAAAGAAAAGACTAGAGGGGACATCCAGCTTTATGGAGACTTTGGAAGGTACCTCGTGGAGTGCACACATGTCTCAAAGCTCGGCTCTCAACACCTAGTATAGGTAGCCTCACAAGCGACTCAGGACGCCCACCGTTGGACTACATGAGTCATGGTGGGTTGTACATTTTCCTAGCAGCGCAAGACAATCAGTCGATCTCTATTGTTCGATACGTCAAAGAGAAGCGGCCCGTTACACTGACAAAGACATCGATTCCCTAGTCCTGGAGTTTGACGTGTGGACCGATCAAATATCAGGTCATGTAAAGAGACTAGGTAGCGAGCTAGACTTCAGCCAGCCAGACGCCAGAAAAGATGGCATCCAGATTGTAAACGGAAAAAGGAACCCGAGCCCTACCTACTTCATTCCCCGTCAGACGTACAGAACCGGCGCACTGACTTGTCCGTGTTGCTCTCTCTGGTCAGCTGTCGTCCGGTGTGGTGAAAGGGGCACACTCCAACTTGGACTCGTCCGACTGGCGATCGTTGAGACGGCCGCGGCATCCGGCGCTATTCAGAATTCTACGCGCCCCCCATCGACTGATGTCAGCAGTACCAGCTTCGCACCATCTTGTCACTAGCTCAGGGGACAGACTCTCGGACGAACATAATCTTTCTTGAAGAATCGGATCCGATGGCTGGCGGACGACTACATTGCCTCTGAAGCGCTCCGAAAATCAATCGCTCGCGTGCTTCACGCCTCCAGTTCGCCAATCTCCAGATCTGGTTGGTTATCGTTCCAATCCAACGAGATAGCACTTGCCATGGTGAGAACCTTTCAACTCGAAGAGGCTAGAAGGGAAAGCCTCGTACACAAGCAACACCAACAAAGGTCTGCCCTTGCCCGTTCTGTCAGCTCCCCTCAGATCTAGCGCAATCAGATTAGGAAGGGCCGTGCAGAGACATTCCAAAACGTTGACGGTCGATAGGCTCCCTCAGGGCCCAGAGAGCATACCGGTCAACTAATCACGACAACCACATGGCAAAAGGGGGGCCGTACTATCATGTTTTAGCTAGTCTCCGGGCTTAATGGCGTATGTTCACCGGTTGATTAACCGAGGAAAGTAGGTAAGCAGATCCTGACACCTTTGTGATTGTGGAGTTCGGCCACCGCGAAGAACAATCCAACCTGTTGCTAACGTGGAAGACCAGTCGCTTCCGGAATGGCCGCAACATAGATGCGTCAGAACCGAGCGCAGGATGAGTAGGTAGGTATCCACGAATACTTTGAGCGCAGTACCTATTTGGTTGGTGATCGCTCCTGTTGGAAACATCGATCGGCATCTTGTAAGTAGGGGTGAATAAGCGAGGTCAATGTGGCAGATGGAGAACCGACAGACAGACATGGAGAACTTCAAAACTTGGAAGAGTGATGCAAGGGGGCCCTAACGAGAAGTATGCGGCCTGCCGCCCAGTATGCTGGTAATACTACCTTTCGCTCAGCTGCAGCTGAACCGCCAACCAAGACATTGGAATCATCGTGCCTTTTTAGTCAATTCTGTACGTCGTCACGTCGTGTCATCCGTCGTAGCTTTTTCTTTTCTCTTTCTCCCTACGTCTTCCTTAGCTCCGGCTACGTGTCGGCCACTGGGGCCAAAGAGAATCACTGGCTAGGATTCCAGTAGCCCGTGTAATGTCATTGAAACAAAGACCAAGGTTCGGCGAGACCTGGACGATGGATGTCTGAGCGGCGAGAGTCTCCTTATGGGTGGTCAAAGTTGGGATGAACTGCTGCGTCTGATGATGCTCTCAAGAAGGGTCGTTGACGGCAGATTTTCTGCGTCCAGGGGACCATTTCACCTCGATCGTCAGCGCGAGTGATTTAGGTAGGCCCTACTCTGTACAAGAGAGAGAATGAGGCCACTTCGAGTCAAGTATCCGTACCTAGTAGGATTTTGACTCGCAGGGATGTTGAGCGGAGCGACGGATTCGGACATCCTATTTCATCTCAGCAAGCGTAGTTCTCTAGATTCTAGCCAATTATTTCTCATGGACTCCCGCTCCCTTACCTCTGCCCTTCCGAAGTTCTGGTGTTTCCCCAGAACTAGGGTCACAGCAAGGTTCAGGGTTGGAGAAACTATGTATCCGTAGGGGCATGGCGTTTGTAGATGCCAAGCTGATGATGCGCCCCTTGCTCTCCCATCACCTTTCCACTGCCTGTTTTTCGTGCTGTGTAGCTTAGGTAGCTGGACGCTCAGTCGAATAGCCCTGTGCGTTGTTTAAGAAGGGGAGGGGGAACGGTGACGGTGGGCCATATTTGCATCTATGGCGCTCACTAGTGCCAGTATGGTGTAATCCAAGTCGATGCGGGACCTGTGTACAACCAAAAAATAGATATCGCGAAGCCATCGGCGGCCGCCTCTTCCTGTCAGACTGGACAAGAAAGACCCTGGGGCAGATGTAAACTTCATGACCCCGGTGGACGATCCCAGTTCACAAACGACTTTCAAATCTTGGAGTTATTGTAGTTGGAAGAATACTGGAATTCCAAAGCGGCCTAGGCTACGAAATGTGGCCATTCCCGTTGAAACGATATGGATCGAAGCTAGCACTTGACGTGCCGGGGAAGTGTAGCCAATGCAGCACGACGGTTGGCTGAGAAATCGGCGACTCGTATAAGGTAGCTGCACAAACGCGCTCCTCCGGATGCGCGGGCTTAGCTGAAGCCTCCTGCTGCTCGGAGGAAAAAAGAAACTTGTGTTGAATAAGCGAATCTCACCCACGGAGTGCCATGTTGATACCCACACATCACGTCTCCGTTTAGCGAATGAGCTTCTATCGCGGGACTCTTCAGAAAGCTCACAGCCGGATGATACTCTCCAGTCCCGACTTCGCATCCCCGCCAGGCCCCCCTCCCCTGGTTTCCGTCCGCAGGGATAAGTGCAGATCAATCTGCCATCTTCCGTCTTTATCATCCCAGCAACCGTCTGCGATACCTATGTGCATAGCCTGATTGCTCTGGAAAGGTCCTTCATCGACGGATGTTGTGTGTTCTTGCGCGAAGGGCTCCCGAAGTGTGGCTTTCGATTTGTTGCGAGGCAGGAGGTACGAAATGTGTTTTCTTGAGTGTTTCTCGCCTTTGGGCTGGTAGTGCGGCATAGAGCCGCCGCTCAAGCTAAGTTTCCCGAGCCAACCGTTGACTCGAACACGCCGAGCCGTGCTGTAGAGACCAATCGGTTTAGTCGGCGCCTCTTAGGCAAATACATACTCGTAGAAGTCACCTCGGTTGAACAAGACGCTGGATTTCTGCTCAATCAAGGGCGACGAGTGAACCACCAAATTCCTCCCTTGACCCTGCTCTGTCTCTCATGCCGCTGACTACCTATCAAAGTCTCGACGTCTCCAAGTCCTACAGTCCAACAACACATGTATGCATTCGTAGTGGTGGGGCACTTGGAGCTGGCTGTTACTGCCGTTGGAACTTGAGAGGGCGTCTCTTCATGCGTGTCTACGACATGTTCCGTGTAGCGACCAGCTAGCTGAAAGACTTGCCAATCCCTACGTTATGCTAGTCACAAATGGCTGGATTGCCGTTTCTTCTTCCTGTCTCATGGTATTCGAGTGGAGATTCGCATCGGTAAAACTTCTGTCTCTGCTGTCAAACTCACCGTCCAAGTCCAGCCGGTCATCACAGAACACAGTCGATTAACGATTGCTCTTTGGAGCAAAGGAGCGACCAATTTCCTCACTTTCTTGGGGCCACACCCCTCCCGACCCGCTGCGACAAATAACTAGCTCACGGCACACTAAGGTAGGTCGTTACGAAAAGCAGGTGACCGAGAACGAAGGTCCGAGCTGGATAACAACCAAAGTTGTTAGCCAACTTTGGAGCAGACTAGAACGAGGCTTGTTCTGATCTTGATCGGCTCGGCTGCCCTTTACCGACGAACCACCGCTTCTCGATCCATTCGACGTCGATCAGCTCAGACCAGCCAGGAACACCCGGCCCTTGGCCAAGCGTGGCATAGGTACATCGGCCGAGTCTAGCCTCGTCCTCCAAGCTGGAGGCCCAGGAATAGCTGCTCGTCTTCGTGCCCAGTAATAGTGAGGAAGAGAAGAAAGGTGGGATTCATGACCCCCAGCTAGTCCCTCATGAGAACTACACTCCGTGTCAGTGGGGATGCGTTGCGAGGATTGCCGTTGTCGCGCCTGGAGCATCCACCAGTCTTGTACCGCCACCTTGTCTTACCCTGACACCCTTGATATATGTCTTGAACGGGCCCCAAGCCGTTCACATGAAGCACGTATCCATACTCTCTCTCTCTTAGCTTGATCAACGGTCTTCTCATTCCCGGGCTTACCACGCGAGGTGAGAAATATATCAGTGAGCAGCCAGTTGACCATCGAGGTCTATGAGAGACATTCCAGAACGACACGTTTTCGGGCGGACGTTCTCTCATGTTGCCGTCAAGATGCCCGCAACAACAGAGGACTTGTTTGCAGAGTACCATGGACAAGTGGTTCCAAGAGCCTTCAATGGCGGCTTCATCACTCTCAGCTTTGCCGTAAGCTTGATCGGCGCCGCTTCCACGCTGGAACTGCTCAACAGACGGACTTCACCCAAGGGCAAATTCAACCAGTACGCATCCTTCACAAAACTGCCCCGTGACTCTTCGCTGACACTCGAATTCACAGCCTGCTCCTGGTCAGCTCAGCGGTTACGATGGGCGGCATCGCAATTTGGTGCATGGTACGTCTCTTGCCCTCGATAGCTCGCCACGTCTAACACGCTTCTAGCATTTCATCGGAAATAGAGCCATAGACTTGGCCAACGGAGAACCGGAGTTGCAAATTGCATATTCGAGCGGCTTCACAGCCTTGTCTTTCTTCGTCCCTATTGCCGTACTTCTCGCTGCCTTTGTCGCCGTCGGTATCAACAATACCGTTTCTTGGTGGCGAGTCTGCATTGGAGGTGTTTTGGCTGGTGCTGCAATCTGCGGAATGCATTATCTCGGAAACAACTCCATCGACAACTACATATGCATTTACAATCCGATCAATGTTGTTGGTGCGGCACTCATCGCAGTCGCTGCTAGCATAGTGGCTCTCGCCCTCTTCTTCGTCTTCCGCGCAGCCTGGACCACATCCTGGTGGAAACGAGCTGCTTGCTCCGTCGTCTTGGCCGGTGCAGTCTCTGGAATGCATTGGTGTGCTGCCACAGGTACCGAGTATCAACTCGTTCGTCTCAACGTCGGAAGCAACGAGCTATCCCGCAACACAACCGTGATTGTTGTCATTTGTTTGGTAAGACGACCCTTACGCCTCCTCCTTGAGAATGAGCCTGAAGCGCTGACCGCTTGACTAGTCCATTGGTGCCTGCTTCGTCATGGGCGGAACAGCCATTTACACTGCCCGCATCATGAGACGCTATGCCAGCAAAGCTCAGCAGGTCGTCCTCGCTGCCGCGGTCTTCGACAAGCACAACCGCATCCTCGTCAACCCAGATGGCCTGATCCCTACCGAGAAGATCACCGACACATTCCTTGAGAGAAATGCTAGCGACAACTTCAGCATCGCCCACCCATTGTTCTTGTGGATGTTCCAGGCCTCGCGGAATTGGTCTGGCATCTCGACTCTCATAGGGGGGATGACAAACCATCTTGCCCACCTTCCAAGACGTGGCCGCGACCGTGACTCCCGTGCCGGCATTCAGCTGATTAACGAGCATGGCGAGCTCATCGAAAATTACGACGTTATTTTCCGCGAACTCTTTTGCGTCGCGGCTGCCGGCCTTGCCGAGAAGATGAAGGAACACCTGACATCTGTTGGACTCCTATGGGACGAGATCTTACCAACGGGCGCGAGCGGAGAACGTCCTGGACATGAGACGAGCAGCCAGCAAGACGTCGACACCATTCTGAGACCCGACGGTTCGTTAAGGAAGGTCGAGGCTACTGGTAACAGTGACGACCTTGCAGAAAAAGGCATTGGCCGCCGCAAGGCTCACGAATTCGGGCGGGGTTCTCTTATGTTCTTGGTCCGACGAGTACAGACTGATCGAGAAATTGAGAGACTTGAGGCCGCTGGCTACCGCTTTGCAGAGCTCCGTCAAGTGAGCAACATCATCGCGTCCAGCATGCAGATCCAGTCGAGAGACCTGGCGACGAAGCTGCAGAACATGGCTTCGTACGCCAACGACAATAACCAGCTTGAGCCCGGTGTACACGTGAGCTTCTTTGGCATTCGCGCTCGAGTAGGTAGTTATGGGTTCGACGTTGCTGTTCGTAAGGGGGCCCGACATCTCCTCCCCAGCGTGCAAATGCCCATCGACCGAGTCGAGCCCTGGCACCTCGGCTTTCTCCAGCAGCTCGACCGGCTGACCACGCTCGGGGTGAGCAGGAGGATTGCTTCTATGAGCAACTTAGGCACACGAGAGATGCTCTTTGCAACACAGTTGACTGAGAGTATCGACGCATTGAGAACTTGGATCGACGACCCGATCTTCAATGAAGCTATTCTCACCAGTACCGTCGTCACTCTACCGGCGGGCGAAGGCTCGGCCTTGCAACCGACAAGCCTGATCGCGTTCCGCCTGGTTATCCCGATCCACGTCATATTTTCCAGCCCCAAGTGTGATTTCGTTCCGTTGAACTTTTTCAAGGTCCATCAGCTTGTGGGTCGAGATGCATCGCGGCATCTTGCCTTTACCCAGTCGGTGCACCGTGAGCTGGCACCGGTAGTCCAGTCGGTGCCGCTTGAAAAGCCCAGCCCTGCCATAGCCACGGACGGAAAGCCTCGCTTCTCGTCACGTCTTCGTAATCTTGGACGCTTCGGCCTGTCGCGCCCCGTCGATTCGGAAGGGAATCCGATTTCCACAGCTCTCGGGCGCTCTTCATCGAGGACAACTTCGAACGCATCAAGCTCGACCCTCAAACTCTGGACAGGCCGACGGGACAGCGACCCCATGTCACCAGGCACTTCAAGCTTCGATGGACCGCCTCCCACATATTCGAATAACGAGATGGCCAACCAGTCTTCACCGTTTGGGGGCATCATGGTATCAGAAGAGATTCGTGTCGAGATCCACAAAGCCGACGAAATGTCTCACTCGGGATCTCACGATGTGGGTGTATCTAATCGAAGAACACCAACGATGCTGGGCAGAAGGGCCAGCGACAACCCCGGAAACATGGCCAGCAGTACTGGCGGTGACCAGACGACGGCTGTGACCGACGACTGTCGCGGTCCCAGTGCGAGCGGTAGTGCCATTGAAATGAGAACACTGCAGGTGGCTGAGGTGAGAACTAATGTCCATGCCGGTGGCGGCATGCAGAGTTCGAATGTTGAAGCGGAAAGAGTAAACGATGTACCGACGTTTGTCGACGAGCTCTTCACCATCGCCATTGAGAGTCGATGATCGGTTTGGGAAACTAAAGAAGGTCCTTGGCGTTTCCGAGGAAGATGTCGGAGTTATTTGTGCTGGATATTTTTTTTGGGACGAAGGCAGGCAGCATGGCTAGATACCCGGGGTTTGAACCAATGTATAAGTAAGGTACGCAGGCGACAAAAAACGTTACCATTAATTCAGGAAGAGCTATGATTTGCATTCATATTGAGATGATTTAAAGGAGTGCCTGGTTCACTCCATACTTCAGCAACCTCTACCTGAGATGGCTGCCGATTCTTGAGTGTCTACCTACCTTAGGTATTTCGGAGTAGCTACCAAGGACGTACCTTTGGGCTTTAGGTACCTTAGTAAGGTAAGGTAGGTAGTGCAACTCATCAAAGTGCGATCGGGCACGAGTAGGCCCGGGGAGAAAAGGGGCCTGCCCTGCCGGGCCCACCTGCCACCCTTTTGAAGGACCTGGAAGCCGGACATTTCATTCCATTGTTTGGTTGGTACCTAGATTTCCTCATTCACAGAAGCCACTTGGATCTGTGTAGTCTAGACCACCTTCCACAAGTCCTTCCAATGAGAGTACTACGGCAAGTGGGAATGTCATAGTGAACTTGAAAGGGCACTGGGTAGAAATTGCTCAACATTGATGGTCATCGTATTGCTTCTGTCTTCTTGACATTTTGTAAAAGAGAAACTTTGAACCTTTTATCAAGGTATTTAATTGTGCCTTTACCTGACTTCCATACCTTACCTTACCTTAAGCGTAAGGTTAGTAGGCAGACAGGTGAGGTAAATTTGCACGGCAAGGATATGTGCCTTAGGTACCTACCTAGTGTATATATTCCGTACAGATCAGTACCAAGATGCCCTTTTTGGGTGGGTGGATTGTGGAGAGACCTGGGCAGGTTTGCCAAGCTGCACCAAACTGCACCAATCTGCACACCCTACCTTACCTAGTCGGTAGGTAAGGTAGGTATCCGTACGCACCTTACACAGAGGTAAGAATGGAGCGCTGCGTAGGTAGGTACCTCTCCGTATAGCCAGTCCTGCACTACCTACCTAACCTGCCTTACCTGCCTTACCTTCCTCCGCACCACCTCCCGTCCTGCAGAATCAGATCTACCTCACCACCCGACTTCCCGTCCGTCGTCTTGTCTTATCCGAATCAGCAATTGCCTGCACTGCACTGCCTGGACAGGACGTTGTGTGGTGGTCGATGTGGACTCCAATGCTTTCCACTCTTACCCTTGCCTGACCTTCCCCGGCACTGGACTGACGACCTCAATCGTCTTGCATCCGCTTTTTGTTGTGCTGCGCCGCGTCGTTCCTTAACTCGCCTCACTTGGCCATCCCACGAGGCATTCCGAGCCACACACCCACCCGACTCCGACTCGTACCTCATCTTCACCACCACGTCACCTTCACTCTTGCCCATATCAATTTTCCCCATCGCCATTCTGCCGCCCTTTATTCCCATCTTACTTCCCCCTCTTCTCCCCCCTCTCCCTACCCTCTTTCCGGCCCGCCTCCGACTTGAACACGAATCATGAATGGGGACCTCAGTCTATCGAGGGCCCTCGGGGGACTACGAATAGCCAATCCAGACGACGCCGATGCCTCTCCAAGCGACTCCCAAGATGCCGATACCCCATTATCGACCGACCGGCAACCAGACCATGATAGTCAGCGCCAGCAACAGTATCAACTCGATGCTCATACCCGTCTAGCGCCCCTCGACGACCCGACCACACAACCATCCCCGAGTCCGTTTGGATCTACTCCCACCTCAGACAACTTGTTGTCTCCCATATCCCACACACAATCCTCCGAAGCGCCGTCACCCGCATACGATGGCTCACCGAGCCATGTCGAACCCCGCCGAACGAGCCCTAGTGCCGCAATGCGGGCAGATGTCTACAGACAGCCCGTCTCCCCATACTCCGAACTTGACAGAGCTCCAGGGAATCGATCTTCCGTGTCGCCAACAGCGCGGCCTGTTTCTGCACTATATAGCCACCAACCCGTGACAACTGAAGAGGGACATCCGCTTCATCAACCACAAGGTCAAAGCGACCGGGCGCGGCATTCTGCCTACGGATTGCTCGCCAGGCAAGATTCAAACCACCTTCAGGGCTATCCAGGCAGCTCAACGCCAACGAGGGAGCCGAGTTACAGGGCGCCGGCCAATCCAACACGCCAATCCCAGTTGCCTCCTGGCTCCGGATCCTTGCCCCCACGGAGGAGCTCGAAAGGCATGGGCGGTGGATATGTTTCGGCAACAGCAGCGCCAGGAGGCCCCCAAGATCCCTATGGCCCAGAGGCGCCGCTACCGACTAGTAGTGAGGAGTGGAAGGACCGCGGTGCCGCCGTAGGCGTGCGCCGAGAAACAGACTCGAACGGCAAAACAGTCATCCGGCATGTCAAGAAGGGAGTTAGAGACTTCGCCTTTGGACGCGTGCTTGGAGAGGGCTCGTACAGTACGGTCTATTTAGCTACTGATCGACAGACTCTCAAGGAGTACGCCATCAAAGTCCTCGAGAAGAAGCATATCATCAAGGAGAAGAAGATCAAGTACGTTAACATTGAGAAGAATACCCTGAACCGCCTCACCGAGCATCCTGGAATCGTACGCCTTTACTACACGTTCCAGGACGAAATGTCTCTATACTACGTTCTTGACCTTTGCAACGGCGGCGAACTTCTTGGAGTACTGAAAAAGACGGGCTCCTTTGATCTGGAGTGTACGAGGTTCTACAGCGCCCAAATACTAGACGCTATCGACTACATGCATTCGAGAGGAGTCATCCACCGCGATCTCAAACCCGAGAATGTCCTCTTGGACGACCACATGCATGTGAAGATCACAGATTTCGGCACAGCCAAGCTACTCAAAGACCCGAGAGAGGCGCAGAATGTTGGCGAAAGCGCGCGGGGACTGCCAGAGAGTGGCCGCAGTGAGGCAGACGACGACAATCGGGCAGCTTCATTCGTGGGTACCGCTGAGTATGTCAGTCCCGAACTCCTGACCAGCAAGAACGCCTGCAAGGCGAGCGATCTGTGGGCTTTCGGATGCATAGTATACCAGCTATTAGCAGGTCGTCCACCTTTCAAGGCCGCAACGGAATATCTCACGTTTCAGAAGATTGTCAACTTGGAGTACGACTTCCCTACCGCATTTCCACCAGCAGCCCGTGATCTAGTAGAGCGATGCTTGGTCCTTGACCCAGCCCGTCGTCTCACTGTCGAGCACATCAAAAATCACGAGTTTTTTGACGGACAACCATTTGGCAAAGGCTTATGGAGAACCAAAGCCCCACGACTTCGACCTTATAATCCTACACCACAAGATCCGACTGTGATTCAACTCAACGGTGTGAGCAACAGTCCGAACTCTGCTGCACCGCCTAGGAGCTCCCAGCCGCAAAGTTCGGCCCTGAACGGCAGCGCTCGACCAGCCAGAATCATCACGGAGCTTCCTCCTCCAACCCAGCTGGATATTGAGTGGTCTCCAGTCTTGACGAAGAACAATGAGAGGATTCTCAAACTGGGCGACTTGATGGTCGTCTCGAGCCCCTTGCCGAGCGGCCATGGTAAAGGCGGCGAGCATGCCGAGGGACATAAGAAGCTATCAAGGTTCTTTGGCGGAAGTACGACCAAGAAGAGACAGAGGTTGGTAATGATAACTTCAAGCGGCCGCATACTGCTGGCACCGGCTGGCGGAGAAGAAAAGCGCGCCAAGCAAGAAATTTCACTGCTTGCACCTGAATGCACCTGGAGGACGCAGCTTGACGTAAAGGGGCAGACTGTATGGTGTGTCGATGCGGTAAGTATCCTGGACAAGAAGTCTCGCCGCTCATCTAAAATCCGACAGGGCGGCGTCCACTACACATTTGAGGAGCCCAAGGGAAGCTCCAGCTCTTCAGAGAATGGCACCACGGCCAGCGACTGGATAGAGTCCCTAGAGAGAGCCAAGGAATTGGCCTTGTCTCAAAACCTCTCTGGCTCTTATGCCGGCGACAACGGCTTCGATATGTCATCCGCAGTGTCGAGCCCGGCCAGCACTCTTGGTGGACGAGGCGTTTACCCTGATAGTTTCAGTGTGAGCGACCGATCCGGTCGGAACCATCTCAGCAAAAGCCAGGCCAGTCTGGATGATTCAGCCTCTACTACCAAGCGAAACCGTTTCAGCAAAAGACAGTCCAAGAATGGTCTTGGCCAACAGTTCTAATTAGTATGAGGCTTACGACGTCCGGGGCCATAGGATCTTCACGGATCTTAGGGAGGGTTAGGGGTTGAGGCGACAATTGCGGCTTTCAGGCAGAGAGCCGTCGAGAGAAACTGATTAGAAGTTTGTAATGCAACGAAATATGGTTCGGGAGGAAGCATTCGGGAGCGTGGCGTATCATCGGCTATGCACTCTTCGACAACTTGACCTCTTTTACAAGGAAGTCCTGCAGCTTTCCACTCGATGGAAGCATTTACGAGGTGGGGATTGAGTGATTCGCTGCCTCGCTCAGGGAGTTTTAGGGGTTTAATAGGTCCTCGGAGAAAATAAACCCACGAGATTTGAAAACCGTGACCGTGCGTGTGCTCCCACCAATATTCAATGATCTTCTGGAAATGGAGCGAATACCGCTGCCTCGCGCAGATGGACTCAGAAAGCGTATTTGGGAGGGGGGGGGGGGTTGACGTTGGTAGATATGATCAGGTACCTGCTTACCTTGCCTGATGTGAAGCCACCAACATTTTTCGAGGAGAGCATAGCAGTGTGTTGGTATAAATGTTTATAGCTTGTAGATGGAAGGTGGCGGGAGGTGACCGTTCTTGCGAAATGGATACAATTATCTCTATTGTCGTTGTCTTTTTGCACTCGAACATAGGTATGGACTGGTGGAGGAGGTATATCATGTTAGTACCTGGTGTGACTCCCGTCTGCTGCAGTGGCTCGGATACCTACATACTCTCAGTTAATGTGGAGCCGGGACAGGGGCTGCTGCATCAGTTGGCCAATGGTGGCCGGTATAGGTGCTGCCTTGCGCCTGACCCTGCGCCTTCGCCGCCCGTCGTTCACTCATGCACGCGCGCGTTTGAGAAGCGACGCGACCTCTCACATTTGGCATCTTTGGCAGCGTTGTCTATGGTTTTCGATCCTCAGTGGAAAAAACAATTCCGGTAGTTTTCACTTGCTTTGCGTGCATCTTTCCAAAAGTCATCATCGAAAATGCAGCCCCAGTACCGCCAATACGCCGCCCATGCTGGCGCGCCGCAGGTTCCCCAGCGGGCTCCACATGCCCCAAATCAACGGAGAGGCGGCATCGGTATGCCCGTTCCTTCTTTACCTTAGCCTTTTGAGACCTCGAACACCTTTTTCCCTTGCTCTACTGTTGCGCGACAAGGCCCAAATTACTAGACACGACGACAATTGTGCTAACGATGCCGCCCAAAGGTCCCATCATGCCTCCGAGCCATCATGCTCAAGCGGCCATGAACCAGGCCGCCATGGCGCAGCACCATCCTCCGGGCCAGGCCCTCACGAGCGAGCTTGCCAAGCGTCGCAGCAGAAAGCCGACCGATAAGACATTGCCTGATGGTGTCGACGAATGCATCACGGATACCGAGGTGGCTCAGAGATACAAGGATTTGCGCGACTTCGAGCGACGTTTGGACGCAGCCATGACGCGCAAGCGACTCGACATTGTCGAAACAGTTGGACGAAACGCAAAGGTTGGTAAATTTACGCGATGCAACTCCATTAGGAGCCGTTCGCACCCCTCTCGGCATTACGCGACAGCAGAGCTAAGTCCCGCACTATAGCACTACAAAACCCTTCGTATCTGGATCAGCAATACTGTCGAGGACCAGGCATGGCAAGGAAGTGGTCTCAGCGTTGATAGCTTCGACTTCACCCCCAGCGCCGAGCCTTCTTACAGAGTTAAGATCGAGGGGCGACTACTCGAGGACGGATCGGACGACGCATCGGGAGAGACTGACCAGAAGACGGAGTCTGCACAAGAAGAAGACGCGACTGGGTCAAGGAGACAAAGTTCTGCGCCTGTGAACCAGAAACATCGACTTTCCCATTTCTTCAAAGCGCTGAACGTCGATTTCGACCGTACCCGCTCGAGGGCCGCATCCGATCAGACCGTGGAGTGGAAGAAACCTGCTTCGCAAGGCGCAGCGGCAAGTGCAGACTTTGACGAGTTCACCTTCAAGCGGAGTGGGGACGAGAACATGAACATCACTATCAACCTCCATCGCCAGGAGGATCCGGAACGATATCTTCTCAGCCCTGAGCTGGCCGATGTTGTGGACATGACTGAGGCTTCCCGCCAAGAGGTCGTCCTCGCAATTTGGGAGTACATCAAAATGATGGGTCTCCAAGAAGACGAGGAGAAGCGCAACTTCCGTTGCGATGAGCTTCTTAAAAAGGTTTGTTGTAACCCTACCAAGGAACGATGTTTGGCGTCTAACTAGTTGTCTAGATTGTCAACGGCAGCGATACTGGTATCATTCCTAACCTGAATGATTACATCCAGCCCCACCTCCAACCTCTACCACCAGTCAGCTTACCATACACCGTACGAGTTGATGAGGATTTTCACAGCGACGCCCAGCCCACCATCTACGATGTGCGTGTGGCGGTAGATGACCCCTTGCGAGCCAAGCTGGTACCTTTTGTTACCACTCCTGCGTATGCGAGCGCTCTTAAGGAGGTCGTTGCTATGGATGAGCAGCTAGCAACGCTTATCTCGGCCGTCGCGAGCTCTAAGGCGAAGCACTCATTCTTCACATCAATGAGCCAAGACCCCGCCAACTTTGTGAGGAATTGGATGAGTTCGCAGAAACGGGATCTTGAGATCATCATGGGCGAAGCAACCAGAGGTGGAGGCGAAGATGCCACGGGCGACGACTGGCGACGAGGTGGCAGGGACAGCGTTTGGACGACATCCAACGCGCGCGAAAGCGTCAGTGTCATGCTGGCCAAGCAAGCCCCGCAGGCTTCTAGGTGATGCGAGCAACGTGATGAGTTGCGCGTGCTGGATTATTCTCATTTGTGCGAGGGGTTCCCCCCCTCACGAAGTCGGGCTGAAAAGAGGGGCGTCAAGGGTTGAGGCTGGCTTGTGATGATGCGCGACATCATACTGTATTGTTTTCAAAGTGTAATGGATAACCGGCTTAGTAAGAATTGACGAACGAACATTGACCAGGTCTACCGAACCTCGAACGTCGTCCGCGTGTGTAACATCAATGGAGGAGCCCAGCGGCGATAGTGCTAAAATCCGAGGCGGAGGTTTCCCCGCAAACGACGCCTGCCGGCCCCGTGGCGGCGTCTGATGGCCAACGGGCTGCAAGAAGCACATTTACCTATATAAATCACAAAGACTTACGAGATGCCTGAGCTTGCACTCCGGTTTTGAGAGGATAACTTCGTTTGTCTACATCTCACGTACTTACATCGATTAAGTAATGGCATCCTTCCTCGTCCCTGGCAATACGGCCGTAATCACTGGCGGCGCATCTGGCATTGGATTGGCAATCGCCAAGAAGTGCGTCAGCCATGGAATGAAGGTCCTAGTAGTTGATCGCGATACGAAGCTTCTTCAGGCGGCAAAAACAGTCCTTGGAGAGACCTCTACCACATTCGAGTTGGACGTGAGCCTCCTTCAGGATTGGGAGACGCTCAAGACGGAAGTGAACACTTCCATTGGAGGTACATTCCTCCTTTCCTCCATTCTCCTGTTTCTATGGTTGCAACGCCTCATGAGGTCCTCCGTTTCACGTATTAATTGCTACTCCAGGACATATTGATCTATTGGTTCTCAACGCCGGCATCGGTGGCAAGTCATCATGGCTGGACACAGACAGCTTCCGTAAAATCTTGGACACCAACTTATACGGCGTCATCAACGGAATCAGCAGTCTGCTACCCTTCGTTGGAAGTGGGCAGTCTTCCAAGTCGGCCATTGTCATCACGGGCTCCAAGCAGGGTATTACGAATCCACCAGGAAACCCAGCGTACAATGCCAGCAAGGCGGCTGTCAAGTCTTTGGCTGAGCACCTATCATTCGACTTGAAAGACACCGCCACATCTGTGCACCTCCTAGTGCCGGGCTGGACGTTCACAGGCCTTGCCGGTGCTGCCCCTGGTAGGGAGAAGCCTGCCGCTGCTTGGACAGCGGAGGAAGTGGCCGAGTATCTAGAGAAGAAGATGACCGAGGGATTATTCTACATTCTCTGCCCAGATAATGAGGTAACCGAAGAAATGGATCGCAAGAGGATGATGTGGAGTGTTGGGGATATTGTCGAAGGCCGGCCACCCCTAAGTAGATGGCGTAATGATTACAAGGATGAGGCACAGGCATGGATGGCCAAGCGGTAGTGCTGCTCGCTAATGGGACACCTTGTTTGTGAATAAAGCAGAAAGAAGGACCGCTTCTCGCTATTGTCTGTCGATTGATGAAGAGCAATGCACTCATGAGGGACTTCATGACTGACGTCTTCCTTGTCTCTGGAAACCCGAGCTCGAAACGCCGCGCAAATGCAAATCCCACCGTTGCCTCTCCCAACCCTTACATCCCACTGCTAGTAACGGTCCACCGACAAGTGCATTGTAGGGCCCTTCCATGGGTAAGACACAGTTATGCAAGTCATACCTATTGCATTACAACTAGGCCAAAAGGCAATAAAACCCGTTTGCCTGTAGTCGACCTAACCGCCACCTGGCATGCCATGCCTCTGAGGCGGCACTGGGTTCGGTGGCATATTCCTGATTTGTTTGATCAAAAACTCTCTTTCGTCGATGAATTGCTCGTCATCGGTTCTATCCTCCAAGAAGTGAGACAAGAATGTGAGCAGTTTTTCCCGGTTCATGAGTAAGATCTTCTGGACCGCGATGGATTTGTGGGGGTTGGCCACAAAGACCTTGAAGACATGAAAGCCCTCATACTGCACCATCTTGCGATCGTCTCTCAAGAGGTTCATGCATATCTTGAGATGCTCTCCACGGTCCACATAAGCTGTCATGACGCTGTAATTTGAACGGTCTAGCAAGATTTCACCCAAAAGCTTGATGGACTGCCGCTTGGTAACATAGCTGTTTGACTGCACAAGGATATTGTTGTACTTGTCGAAGAATAGGTCAAAGTTGACAGAGAGGTATCTCGGCACCAGCTCCTTGTGTTTTGTCAGAAGTTCCTGCAAGACGCGAGTGTTAGTGACGTGGTCTTGAGCCCCTTTGGTCCCTCCAAGTAAGGGGGTTTACCCTGAATGTGGTGAAGGCATCCGCGGCTACTTCGAATGAGCTCTTGTCGACCCAGTCAAAAAATCTCCAAAACACGCCCTCACCGCTCTGTCGACGGTCCCTGTCAATCAAGTTGATGCCCTTATTGCTAGACCCAGACTCCTCGTTGTCGTCGTACAGAATGATGGCGGCAGCAGCCTCCGACTTGAGAACTTCTCGAAGTACAGAGCCGGCAGGTGTTGCACTTTCTTTATGTTCGTAGCCGCGGCACAGTTCGAGGAGGACTTGTGGACGGTTGTTGACGACATAAGACAGAGCTAGAGGATCGCTTTTCGGGGATGCTGTAGGCGGGCGGAAGCGAAAAACGTAGGAGAAGATAACCTGGGTGTCTTTCCTCGATTCGAAGGGCAGACGCCAGAGGTTCACCGCCAGTAAGTAAAGTAAGTCTTCCTCAATCAAGCCGGTGACCAGCTGGTATATCTGTTCCGGGCTGCTATCGGACTCTGACTTTCAGTTAACGGCTGGCTTCGACGAGGGCTGTATGAGGCAGGCGTACCATGGGTTCCCTGTAGGATAAACTTCATCTGGTTCAGGACTTTCGCGAGCTCTTCGGCCTGTATTGGAAATGGATGTTAGAGATCGAGCAAGCGCTAGCTAGAGCTGGGGGGTGTAACCAACCTTGGCAGCGCCATTTGGCCCTTCGAGTTTCGTTACGTGGTCTCTGGCTTGTTTGGGTAGGTCAACGGCAGGCCTTGTCCGAGCCCGGCCGAAGAGGAACGACATGGCGAAGGTGGTGGGCTAGGCCAAGAAACGAATCTTTCCTGGGGACTGCCGGACGGCTCGATGGTGAGGCCACAAATGGCTATGGTTCCCGGTCTTGGGTATAAGGATTGGGCAGGCAACAGCTAATCGCTACGACAGGCAGCTCTTGAATCGGGCTCGTTGGCAAGAATTGGTAGCTGTTATCGAAGGGGTGGTGGGCTGAGGTTCGAGCTGTTCGATGTGGGACAGCCTAGGCGGGTTCCGTCGACAAAGGTATTTGTTTTGCGGCGATGGTCTGTCGGGAACAAGATGGAAAGGCACAATTCAAATGAGGGGAGGCAGAGAAGAGGTAGAAAGGAGGAAAGAGGAAAGTCCCAGATTGGTCGAAAGAGAGGAGACAGGCCGATGGGCGTAGTGTTGGGCCGAGTCCGGGTCGGGGTGTTGTTTACGTTAATACACGGCGGACGACGATCCCGCCGAGAAACACTGAGGATTGGAAGCGTTGCTCGTCTGATGAAAGTGGTTGCTTGGGGACGTCGAAATTGGCCTGCACCTTGTACTGAGACCGCACGTTGCCTCGCCTCCTACCTTAGGCTTGGGTGACACTCCTACCCAGGGCACCTTGGGGCTGGTCTTGTAGCATGCCCATGTGGAGGACCTGGGAGGTACCTTCGTCAGGTCTGTGAGGTGAGGTCCAGGCGGTGACCTCGGGACTGAGTTGCCCTGGGGGAATAACCCAACGGATGGGCCACCTCAGTAAGGTGCTGATTCGGAGTGGTGCGAGAACAGCGGACCTAAGGTAAGGTACCTCAAGTTACGTGCCTAGTCGCTTAAGTTGTGTGCGTGTGTGCGTACCTTACCTTAGACACCGAGGTACCTGAGAGTGTTTTGGCTCCCCACCTGGTACTTTGGGTTCCTCCACTGTATTTCCTCTCGAAGTGCCTGTGACTCCGTATGCGGAGTACCTTATTCCTTGTAGGAGCACCACGAATAGTCGCCAGTACTCACCCACCAACCCCTCACCTAAATGTCCACGCTGAGATGACTAAGGAAGGTAAACTGAGTGCCGGTCGTCTGAGATGACTTGGTCGATTGCCCCGCGCTCGATAAGTCAATCGAGAAAAAATTACCCCACTGACTCACCTCACGCACTGAACCCCTCCAAATACCCTCCCAAGTCGCCCACGTCCTCACAGATCCATATCCTCAGTATCTTGGGTTTTGACTCACAAGACCCATTGACGCTTCTTCGTGGTCTTCCTAAGAGCTCTTCGTTTTTCGAGGGTTTGGCTCCGTTGGTCTCCAGAAGCTGCGCAGCTCCCGCCTCCCTTTCTCAACGAAACACCGCCTACCAAATTCACTACTGTTTTTGGTGTGACAATATTCGGTTCGGCAGAGCCGCAAACCGCAACCAGGCTACGTTCCCTCGCGCGGTCCTTGACTCCGACTTTGTCGCCTTTCGATCAACATCATGTCTATCGACTTCCCTAAGGAGGAGGAGGCTGTCCTCCAGAGATGGCGTGAGATCAAGGCATTTGAACGTCAGGTAGGCCCGATCTCTTTTCCCTCCAGACACAACAGTCGCACTCTCTGTTTACGTCGAGGCCATTTCGTGTTTGCTTGCTCCCGTACTGACAATCATCGCGCACGCAGCTCGAGTTAACACAGGGAAAACCCCTTTACACCTTTTATGATGGGCCTCCTTTCGCCACTGGCCTTCCTCACTATGGCCACTTGCTGGCCTCCACCATCAAGGACATCATCCCGAGATATTGGTCCATGAAGGGCTTTCACGTTGAAAGACGCTTCGGATGGGACACCCATGGACTACCTATCGAGCACGAGATTGACAAGAAGTTGGGCATCTCTGGCAAGGCTGCTGTTATGCAGTTGGGATTAAAGAACTACAATGCCGAATGTCGATCTATTGTTATGCGCTACAGCGGGGAGTGGCGCCATACCGTTGAGAGACTCGGCCGATGGATCGACTTCGACAACGACTACAAGGTAAGATCGCGCACCACGTATCCTAAACTACTGAGATTGACTAACAAACGTTCTCCGAAGACCATGGACCCTACCTTCATGGAGTCTGAATGGTGGGTTTTCAAGCAGCTATTCGACAAAGGCGCTGTGTACCAGGGCCATCGCGTCATGCCTTACTCAACAGCCCTGACCACAGCATTGAGCAACTTTGAGGCCAATCAGAACTACCAGGATGTCAGCGATCCCGCCATCGTCATCTCATTTCCCCTGGTCGAAGACCCCGAGACTCACCTGCTGGCATGGACGACGACGCCGTGGACCTTGCCTTCGCATCTCGGACTGGCTACGCACCCTGATCTCGAATATATCAAGATTCTTGACGAGAAGTCAGGCAAGAAATACATTCTGCTCGAGAAACTTCTTGGTACATTGTACAAGGACGTGAAGAAGGCCAAGTTCAAGATCCTTGAGAAGATCAGCGGCAAGGCCATGCTCGGCTGGAAGTACGAACCCCCCTTCAACTACTTCTATGAAGAATACAAGGACGTTGCCTTCAGGGTACTGAACGCTACCTACATTACTGATGACAGTGGTACTGGCATTGTTCACCAGGCACCTGCTTTCGGTGAGGACGATTACAACGTCGCCGTTGCAGCTGGCATCGTCACCGAGAACAGGGCGCCTCCTGACCCTATTGACGACAGTGGTCACTTTACCAGCCGCGTCTCTGATTTCGCCGGCATGCACGTCAAGGAGGCCGACAAGCATATCATCAAACACCTGAAGGGTGCCGGAAAGATTGTGGTCGACTCGACGCTCAAGCACTCATACCCCATGTGCTACCGTTCCGACACTCCTCTCATTTACCGCGCAGTACCCTCGTGGTTCGTTCGCATCCCCGAGATTATCCCTCAGATGCTGGAGAACATTAAAGGCTCTCATTGGGTGCCCTCTTTTGTCAAGGAGAGGCGGTTCGCCAGCTGGATCGAGAACGCTCGTGACTGGAACGTCTCACGAAACCGTTACTGGGGTACTCCCATTCCACTTTGGGTCAGCGATGACTTGGAAGAGCGAGTGTGTATCGGCAGCGTGCAGGAGTTGCGTGAGCTGAGTGGCTACACTGGAGACCTGTCTGATCTTCACCGAGACAGCATCGACCATATTACGATTCCTAGCAAAATGGGTAAGGGGACTTTGAGACGCATTGAGGAAGTGTTCGATTGTTGGTTTGAATCCGGCAGTATGCCATACGCCAGTCAGCACTATCCCTTCGAGAATGTTGAAAAGTTCGAGAAGTCGTTCCCTGGTGACTTCATTGCCGAAGGCTTGGATCAGACTAGAGGATGGTTCTACACCCTACTTGTCCTCGGCACGCATCTTTTCGGCAAGATTCCATTCCAGAACTGCGTTGTCAATGGCATAGTCTTGGCCGAGGACGGAAAGAAGATGTCGAAGCGTCTCAAGAACTACCCAGTTCCTGATTTGGTCATGGACAAATACGGCTCCGATGCCCTCCGTCTCTATCTCATCAACTCGCCAGTTGTGCGTGCTGAACCACTGAGATTCAAGGAGTCTGGTGTTAAGGAGGTTGTTCAAAAGGTCCTACTACCGCTCTGGAACAGCTACAAGTTCTTCGAAGGCCAAGTGACGCTGCTCAAGAAGGTCGAGGGCATCGATTACACCTGGAGTCCAAAGGCCCTTTCGACCAACGAGAACGTGATGGATCGGTGGATCTTAGCCAGCTGCCAGAGCTTGCTGCAATTCGTCAACCAGGAGATGAGTGGTACGTTGGGATCTTACACCTTTGTCCATGAACCTCGCTAACATACCTTTTCTACTAGCCTATCGACTCTACACTGTTGTGCCGCGTCTGCTCGGGCTCATTGAAAACACGACGAACTGGTATATCAAGCTCAACCGAAGACGTCTCAAGGGTGAGAATGGAGTCGAGGACACCCAACATGCGCTCAACACCCTGTTCGAGGTCATCTTCACGCTATGCCGCGGCCTTGCTCCTTTCACTCCCTTCATCACCGACACCATTTACCAAAAGCTCCGCCCCTTCATTCCTAAGGAGGCTGAGGCAGAAGACGCGCGCAGTGTCCACTTTTTGCCGTTCCCAGAGGTGCGTCAGGAGTTGTTCGACGAGGTTGTCGAGCGCAGAGTCGGCAGAATGCAGAGGGTCATTGATCTGGTCAGAGTGTCTCGCGAGAGAAGAGCAGTCGGCCTCAAGACCCCGTTGAAGACGCTCGTGGTCATCCATCGCGACCCTCAATACCTCCAAGATCTCGAGTCTCTCTCATCTTACATCAAGGAGGAGATGAATGTGAGAGATCTGGTTCTCACATCTGACGAGGCCAAGTACAACGTCCAGTATAGCGTTACTGCCGACTGGCCCGTGCTAGGTAAGAAGCTCAAGAAGGACATGGCGCGGGTCAAGAAGGCGCTCCCAACGCTCGGCAGCGACGCCGTCAAGGAGTACTCGGAGAAGAAGGTGATTCTCGTCGATGGAATTAAGTTAGAGGAAGGTGATCTCGTTGTGAGACGAGGTTTGAAGGAGGACGAGTCCTCGAAGAATCTGGAGACGAACTCGGACAACGACGTGCTCACCATTTTGGACGCTGAGCTTCATGTTGAGCTGGCCCACGAGGGTCTCGCAAGAGAGATCATCAATCGCGTACAGCGTCTCAGAAAGAAGGCCAAGCTGCAGCCGACGGATGACATCAAGATGGAATACAAGGTTATCAGCGACCCTGACAACATTGGCCTCGAAGAGGTGTTTGTCTCGCAGACCAAGGTCATTGAGAAGGCGCTCCGCAGACCGGTGGATAAGCACGAAGTTACTACGGTGGAAGGCGAGGTACCGAACGAAAAGCAGAAGGGAATCATTGCGGAAGAGGAGCAAGAAGTGCAGCATGCTACATTCTTACTCCGCCTGCTCGAGCTTTAGATGTGAAGTATGCGGTGAGTACAACCTTACGATAGCTTAGATCACCGGAACATGAGTAGTTGAAAATGATGAAGGCTTAAGAGGCCGAAAGAAAAGATTGAGTTCACCGCAATAACGTTCGAAGTCTCAGAGACTGGTCTATTGTGCTTCTACCATCATTATCTTGCTTTGCGGGCCGCAATCTTTTGATTGAATGATTCAGCGTTAGCGACATGGTAAACTCGGGAGAGACAGAGGTGGAAAGGGGCATGGTGGTGAGAAATACAAGATAGCAATCCTTCAGTCTGAGAAATTCCTTCAAACATTTGTCCTTGTGGACAGAGTTGTAGTCGGCAACGATGCACTTGCCGTACATGGAGGTCTACATCCTGGTCAGTACGTGTTCGAACCGAAAGGTAGGTAGCTATGGCTGGACCAGGAGCCACGACCGAAGGACTGACCTCTGCTGAACATTGGCCGACTGCGGCTGCAAACTTCTGGATGGGCCGTGTGCGAACCATGATAGCGGCTTGAGATGAACCTCGGGTAGAAGAGGGTAGACGCAGAGTGCGAAATATGATTGTCGCGCAATTGATGGAGTTTCGTCGTCACCATATGAGGGTATGGATGGCTAAATCTACTTTACCTTGGGACGCATCAAAGACGTCGCCGAGATCCTGCCTTTAGGGTAAGGCAAGAGGTACCTAAGGTAAGGTAGGCAAGGTAGGCAGCGGGTGTATGAGGTACCTACCTACAGTACCTAAAGCCTAGGTAGTAATCGAGGTACATTATCTCAGTTGCCTCCTTTGGAGCAACGCGTCTGTCTTGGTGTGATTGGATGAGCCCGTATTGAATAAGAAGTATATGTAGCTAAGTCTAAGACTCGGTTATATTAATGATTTCCTTCTAGCTACCTAAAGGGACCTGCGAAAGATGCCTCAAATCCACTACCCAAGGCAGGTCACCAAGGTACCTTAAGGTACCTCGATGTTGCGGGGGACAGCCCGTTGCAACACAGGGCACAAGCTCTACCTTAGGTAGAGAGGCTCTATCTAGGTACCTTATGTAGGTTTTGGTGGCACCCATTGTGAGCAGATTGGCCTATCAGCAATGCGTCGCGACACCAGGATCAATTGGATTGCAGCCCAGCCAACAGCAGCGTATCCACAGCGGCTACCTTGGTGCTCCGCCATAGGACGCGAAATAAACAGACGGCAAGAAAGAAAAGAATAGGAAGAGAAAATAAAGACGGGGTTGGGAGCGGCTATGGATTGACCACCTGCTGATACCTGCAAATATATCTGTGTGTCTGTCTGGTCAAGACCACTGCACCTGGAGGGAATCAGCTAACTCACCACAATATAATTGACCTGCCCATTGTGACACCGGCCCTGCTCCTGTCAACCTCGATTTTGGACATCATCTATCGTCGCCCTTCGCTAGCCAATTGCGACCTCGTTAGCCTCCCACGCGCCTAACCCGCGGTGCGCGGTGGACATGGCAGCGCCGCGACCAGCTCATCGCCATCATATCGATTTGCGACTCTTGCGACGCGACTCAACACCCGTTACCTGAGCAATCGTCGCTGCAAAACGTGAAGCTCGTTCAGCCTCTTGCGATATCAGCTGCCAGCAGTACATTTTGTCGCGATCAAATGTATTCAGCATTCTTGCCCGACTATACACCATCACCGGAATCAAATCTGGCTCCTTAGCATTACCAAGGCAAATTGCAATCGTCCTCGGCTACCGTCACTACCATCGTCATCAACACTACTACCACCAACACCGCCGCAAACTCTTCTACAGCCATTCTATTATGCTCCCAGCCTGGCGCCAGTTCACATGCCGTCGCTGCCGCATCGCCCAGTGCTGGCCCCCCGTGACGGCATATCTAGCTTTGTGTCTGTCCAAAGCTCGGATTCCTATTACAGCGATCATGGTAAGTGCAGCTCAAATTGCACCTTCACAGCATCATTACCTACACCCACCATGCCTTCGACTGCAAAGCACACTCCGTCTGATGACTACTCTCAGAAATCGCCATCCTACACCGTGTCGTCACGGCGGCCCAGGAGAATCTCGAACTCCTTCCCGAGGGCGAGCGATTGGCAACAAACGCCTTATTCCAGGCTTATGATGCTGTGCTCCCACTCTTCGGCATCGACCCGGAGGAAGAAAATCATATCTCGCGCCTCGTATTCCGCGTTGGCGGTGAACGCGGCGAAGGGTCACTCCAGGAGAAACTTGACGCCGTCTTGTCAAGGATGGGCATCGGCCTTGAGTTCGGAAGTGAAGGGTCCAGGGCATTATCAAACAACGGCGACGACGACAACGAAGATGAAGACGGAGCCGGAGCCGGATATGCGGAGGCTGCTGCGCCACAGCCTGCGCTTACGGACACCGACCGAGACTCTGTCACGTCCGGAGACGAGTCCTCTAAAGAGGTCGAGCTTGCACCCCGAGAACCTTACGCGAATCTGCCATCTTCGAAGGCGCAAGCATCACATCGCTTGGACTATGCTGCATCTCCCCCAAGGCTGACGCGCGTTGGCTTGGTATCGAATCACTTGGATCTGAAGTCTATCAACCATAATAAACCGGCACCCCAAAGCTATACTCCCTCGACGGCTGGAAACACAGAACAAAGTCGTCAAAGCCGGCAATCAGTATCTGGCACCAGTGTGCAACGTGGCGCCAGCGACACCACAGTTCAGCCTATTGAGGCGTCTTATATCCACCCTGCGAATGAGACCGAGGCGGCCGCTCTACCAATACGGACAAAGCCCATAAGAACGGTGAATTGGCTGCTTCCGCCTGATACCACCAGCATCAGCGCCGGCACCAGCGTCGGTGCTACTGCCCCAGAACCAGTTCGAAATGGACCCCGGGGTTCTGAGGTCGCGGAAGACCATGTTGTGCATGTTACTGAGACACGGAATTCTCACGAACACGAGCTCAATACCCAAAAGCCCTCAGTACACACGCCTGCTGTACATGAATGTACGGTCCAGAAGATTGCCACTCATCAAGCAACCAAAAGGAAGCAACCTGCCGAAGAACCCTCTGTAGGCAGGATCGAGAGTGATGAAGCAAAGCCAGTGATCGACGATGAAATCAACGGGGACCCTGATGACGACGCAAGATATGCGGTACTGGAGTGGAAATCGACCAAAGTAAAGGGGTACTTACTGCTCCTAAGAGGATTGTCACACTGGAAACAACACGCTTTCGACAAGCTCGAACGAATGGCCGTAGCCAGGAGGCACATTTTGCGGATGCGTCACTTTGACCCGTGGGAGCTGGTCACGGCCGAAACTAGGATCCGGGGTCGCCGCGTGTTCACTTCCCGTCTTATTGGCTCATGGCTCAGGCGCGCCGGTGAAGACTTGGACACAGAAGATGCAAGCTTAGCCCATGCCCAACGGAATATGGCCCAGAATGCCCTCAGACACTGGTCAACCTCCTGCCTAACTCCAATGGAAACTCGTTTTCCGGCGCGCACTGTGTCCATTCATCTGCAACAATGGCATTCGGCTTGCTCAATTTCACAGGGGCTTGGGTCTCACGTGGAGAACCTGTACGAAGAGCATGGAAGGTTTCGGGTCTTGAGAACATGGTCCCACCAAGCAGCGTCTCATCTGAGAGATGTTGCTGCATTTCGCAGATACCATATCGTTCAGGGCCCTTTACACCAGTGGCACCTTGACTCAAGGGTCGAGGTCTTCAAGTCCAAGCTGGAAATCAAGCTCGTTCGCAGCTGCTTGTCGAGGTGGCAAAGCGCGTGCATGGTCCCACCGATATTCGGCCAGACCAACGCCCTCAGCCGCGGGATTGCTGTGGATTCTGTGTCCGGCATGGCCTTACCTAGACCGCGGCGAGGCGTGAGATCCCTCACGGCCATATCAGATCGTCTGCTGAAGACCAAAGTTCTTGGCAACTGGCAACAACAAGCTTCAGTAGTCGCCAAGACGAGCACGAGATCGCGTCGGTTTGCGTCGCATCAAGGGGCACATAAGGCGTTGGAAATGTGGCATATCGACGTCGGTGAAAAAAGAAACCTCCAGAAGTGGGTGCAGCGCGGTTGTTTCTACGTTAGTGCCACGCATGCACTCAAGACATGGCGATCCAGATCAACTTGGAGGTCAGGGACTCGAAAATCATATGCCCGATGCAGACAGCACGTCAAAGCTACCTTCACCAAAGGTTATCTTGATTTATGGAAGACAGCTACTCGTGCTCACGTAAACTTGGGCTGGAAAACAGATCAGCACCACATTGTAGTGGAACATGGTCGTCTCATTTACATGCTGAAATTGTGGCGAGAAGAGAGCAGTCGCGACTGGGGGACGAGTAAGTTTTTGACTGCTGCGTGGGTGGACGAATGGAATGCAATGTCCCAAGATCTCGCCGTCAAAGAGGACCGCGTCAAACAGGCTTGGTCGGTGAACCTGAAGTCACGTTGGTGGAGTCAGTGGCAATCATCTTTGCTGCAATTGAAAAGCCGAGAATACGTGGCACTGGACGTTAAGGAGAGGAACAGCAAGAAGGCTGTACGACGCCTTCTGCTACATTGGAAGGGAGACAGGAATCTGAGCACATCTTACCAGTCAACAACACTGAGAGCTAGTCTCAGCAGCTCAAGAAGAGGAGCTGGCTTCGTGGCCAGTCGCACCTCACTGCCACTCTCGAGAGCAGTTCATGAACGACACAGCGGACCAAGTTTTCGCGGTTCCAGGATACAAGAAGTGGAGCCAACGGCTGACGACGATGATCACGACGGAACCGGGTCTGGACCAGATACTGATGGAGTTGTGGCGGATACGCCGACCCGGTGGACGGGTATGGCGTCTTCTGTGAGGCTTCCGTCCATGACACCTTTTGCTCCCCTTCCAACGCCATTTGAACGAGAGCTCCGAGAACGATACAACCGGAGCGTGCCTGCAGCTGCGACTGGCCAGATGAGCAGCCTTTCCTTCGCACAGGCGCAAAGGCTCTCTGTGGCCGGCACACGGCGAGCAGCCAAGGAGAATACTGCGGATATTGGCAGAGGTGGTTGATGAGACATGGGCGGAGACCCTTGATGAGAACAGGCGAAATGCTATGGTCATGTGGATATCATTCATGTGTTTGGAAACCTTTACCCAGTATACCCAGACTAGGCAGTTTTGTATTACAAACGAAGCCTTTCGGCATGGGCTAGAAATCAGTGTTTGTTCTCCTAGTACCTTTGTGGAACAAATGTGCAACATCGGCCTAAGGTGAGATGCGATAACTACTCAGGCAGGCTGCGGGCTCACCTCAAGGCACCTAGCTGCCTACCTACGTACATAATTAACGCGAGTATCTTGAGGAGTACGGGTACAGATGCAAAGGGACCAACTGGGTGATAAAACAAGATGCCGGTCAAAGCTAAAGTGGCCTCGTTCTCATAACCCGTGCCCACGAATGCATCTCCACGCCTTTACAAACGTATTGTCTAAAGGGATGTCTAAAATAAAAACAATATAAAAAGCGGCGGTAATAGTAGTAGGTACGAAGAAGGTGGAGAGAGCTGAGGTACCGTACTGAGGGTCTTTGTCACCAAGTTGGGGACATAAGGTACCGACCGACCCCACACCCCTGGGTTGACCACCCGTTGCAGTGCGCAATGCGCATACCTTACCTTCATGTGGCTTGGAACCTTGCCATGGCATGGTCCAAGTTTAAGCTCCTCACAAACACTCGCATTGACCGAACTCGGTCTATGACAGAGCTCAATTCGCACCCCATATCAGACGAGGAGCCTCTGGAAAGACCTACCACGTCTTAGACTCTGACTGAGGCCTAACCCGCGATACTCGACAACTATCGACCAAGCAGACCCGGCATCACGTCCGCCTAGGCAATGCTGCTGTGGCTTTCTTGCTAGTAGGATGAGAGCAGTCCTCCCAGGTAGGCCGAGGTCTGGGCTTCAAGCTCTCGCGACGGGCTTTTGGGACTCGAGGCACTTCAATGTGAGCCACTTGATCAGGCTTTGACAACCTTCTATTATTATCGCCCCCATAGTGCTGACTTCTGGTCACCCCCAGGTCTACATAACCGGCAGCGCGTTTACGATCCTTGGCGATGCCGACACCATCGTTCAGACAATATACGACGACGACCCAAGCCATTTGCAGGCCGCAGCCTTCGATGAATCCTCGGGCAAGATTGCGACTTGCACCGAATCCGTCATTAGAGTCTACAGGCCTTTTGGGCAGTCCGAAAATGCGCTAAAGGTGAGTTCGTCCTCCTTACCCAAACGACATGGTCTTCGCCCTGGGGGTTCATCTCCCATTCCGTCACCCCTTCCGCACCTGTCGCCTGTACTGGCTTGCGAACAAACGCTGACGACACTCCTGCGTATCAGTGGGGTCTACAATCATCGTGCCCAGTTCCTGGCCACCAACATGCCACCAAGGGGGTCTCTCTTAGCTGGGGCGGCAACGAGGAACTCCTGGTTGCCCACTCCGCCTTATACTTATACTCAACCGCCGACGAGCCGGAGCTGTTATGGACTAAACACCTTCCGAATTCTGTGAGACTAGCGGAAATATCATACGATTCGGCATACATAGCATGCGTAGGCGCGCATGATTGTCTCGTCAAAGTCTGGCGGCGCTTGACATATGGTGCTGGAGATGTGCGCTTCAACCTGACCTACCTACGCCACCCAGACCTCGTCACGAGCCTACGTTGGCGAAAACCGCTACATACCGATCAAACTGTAGAGAACGTTCTCTTCACAACATGCGCCGATAACGTTGTCCGAGTATGGACTGGCACTGATACGCATGCCTTTCGACACATGAACCTTTGGGGGTCCGTCGACTTGGCTTCGTCCTTTCGAGACCTTGGACTTGGTTCCGCAGACCCTACGGCGCCGTTGGTCACTTTCGTCATTGATGGAAGAGAGGTGTCTGCTGCTACAGAGCTGGCCGTTCAGCGGTGCTCCGTGAAGGATAAACCTCGCGATGCTGCTCTCGAACGCCTCATTTCTCTGGCCAATAATAGCGCCGAGCTATGCGTTGCCTCTGACGCTAGTGGAAATATGATGGTATTTGCTTTTGAGGACGTGGGCTCCAAAGCGGGAAAGTCCCACGATGCCATCAGAGTAACAGGCTTCAAGTCACACACTCTTGATTTCAGGTCTGACCAGTACGTCAGCATACAAAGCTATTGCGACCGAGCCACTGGGCGACTACATGTTCTTGTTCACGACTTCGACGGCCAGATCCAAGTATACGACGCCGACTTAGCAGAGTTCCTAAGCGGAAGGAACAAGCCAAGCCGTCTTGCTCGGCGCTGTATCTGGGCCGGCCATTCATCGCCTATCCAAAAAATGGTTCGCAATTTCAGTGGTCGCGCTGTTGTTTCTAGAACCGAGGAAGGCGAAAGCATTGTCTGGACGCACTCCGAAACCAGTCAGACCAGCTTGTCGCGCCAGAGTGTCATCCAGGGAAACGCTCATATCCATCGGATATGTGTTTTGCGCAAAGGCCGTTTTGTTATATTCCTAGAGCACGGGAAAATATCGCTCTGGGACTGCCGGCATCAGAAAGCCATTTTACTCGCGAGTCAATCGTACGATATCTCAGGAAAGCCCTTGTGCTTACTGATTCTGCCTCGACATCGAGTTGAGGAGTATGCCGTTGCTCACATTGCAACTGTCACATCCGAAGAGGAAGGGCTTGTTTGGGAAGTCAATTTACCTCGATACTCCAGTCAAGGTGTCAATACGCATGCCAATGGCCAAGAGGAGACTTCGATCAGCGAGTTTTGCAGATTCAAACTGAAAGACGCCGAGGGGATCGCCTATATGCTGCCCGTCGACCCGGCAGGATCTACGCCCGCCACTTCTGGCTTTCTCGATGTGTTTGCTAGAGACATTGCAGTGTCGTACACTCACGCAGGACGTGTAGACTTTTGGACAGCGAGAGTCGGCAATACGGGGAAAAGCGTTGGATGGCTCTCAACCTCCTCAGCAGAGACAGGCCTTGTCGAACCGGCTCTCGTCAGTGGCAGCACTCTCAAGAAGGCTGCAATTGTGGATTCCGCAAGGTCTCAGCTGTTCATTTGGGACATCGGTGGCGCTCGACTTGAGTTTACACAGGACTATGGAAGACACAATACGATACAAGACCTCGACTGGACTTCGACTCCAGATTCACAATCTATCCTCGCCGTTGGCTTCCAGGCGAAAGTAGTTCTGCTCAGCCAGATGCGATTTGACTACTTGAACAAGGGACCGGCCTGGGCCGCAGTCCGGGAGATCAGTATTCGCGAATTTACCCCTCACCCAATAGGAGATTCCACCTGGCTAGGCGATGGACATCTCGTCATCGGGTCAGGTAATCAGATGTTCGTTCATGGGAGGGAGTACGACCTATCCGGCTCCTTAATCAACAGCCTGCAGCTACCGCACAGGAAGAACGGCGTCTGGGATCTTTTTGACGCTGTTCAGAGGTTTAATGGCCCTCTGCCGGTCTTCCACCCTCAGTTCCTGAGCCAATGTATTCTTGCAGGGAAGAGCACTATAGTCCGAACGATTCTGATGTCACTGCACAAAACTCTCAAGTTCCTCATTGCAGGTGAGACTGTCGATGACTACCTGGGACTCGAACCAGCGGTTTTCTACTCACCCGGGGTAAGGCGTTTGCTTATTACATTGACCGTCACTTGAACCAAAGGTGGAGCAGAGGCTAACTTGGTCACTAGGCCTCACCGACGCAAGCATCAGAGTCCCAAGTAGGGTCTCACTTCAGCCTACAAGTATCTGCTGACGAGACAGACGACTCAGAAGAGCATTTCAGCGAAGAAACCGCACTTGCCATCAATGGTCGTCTTACCAAAGTTGGCCTCCAACAGCTATCGGGTCATGAGCAAATACAGCTGGCTGATATCGTTGAATGCGTGGGGATCGTCGAGAAACAACGCAGATCCCTGGATGAGAATGGTGCGCGTTTTATGCTCTTTTTCCGCCAACATGGGCTTCGCAAGGGTCGGACAAGTGAAATTCAGATGTCCTGGCGAGAGATCAATTGGGCCTACCACTCGACTAGCCAGGACATCCTCACTGATTTCGTCTCCAAGCAATGCCACGGCGCACTACGCTGGGCGGATGCGCGGGAGAGCGGCATGTTTATGTGGCTCACCGATCGGAACGCCTTGGTACGTAAGCCCTATTTGCACCGCCGAGCAGTCCATGTCAGCTAACGATGAACGTAGCTTGCTCAATTCGAGGTCGTTGCAAGGAATGAATACACCAAGAGCGAGATGAAAAATCCAGTTGACTGTAGCATCTATTACCTGGCTCTCAAGAAAAAGACAGTCCTCCAGGGACTGTGGCGAATGGCTCACTGGAATAGGGAGCAGGGGGCAACGCAGAAGTTGCTGTCTAACAACTTTGAAGACCCGAAATGGAGGACGACGGCGCTGAAAAATGCTTACGCTCTGCTAAGCAAGCGACGCTTTGGTGAGTCGTGAAGTATAACAATGAATTTCAAGGGCTAACATACGGGCACACAGAGTACGCCGCTGCATTTTTCTTACTTGCAGACCACCTGCAAGATGCAGTCAATGTCTGTCTGAATCAACTTAAGGACCTTCAGCTCGCAGTAGCTATCGCGCGTGTCTACGAAGGGGACCGAGGTCCAGTGTTGAAAAAGCTCCTAGAAGAAGAGGTACTAGCTGTGGCTGCCAAGGAGGGCAACCGCTGGCTCGCATCCTGGGCCTTCTGGATGCTGAATCGTAAGGATATGGCGGTCCGGGCCCTGATTGTAAGTTCCGCTATATGGCCCTCGGATGATATGCCGTTCTTTGCCAGTACCTAACCTATCCTTGGTGTTATAGTCGCCGGTTTACACCCTGGTCGAGACGCCGTGCTCTCCAAACATGCAATCGAAATTGTTCCTCACGGACGACCCGGCGTTAGTGGTACTGTACTCACAGTTACGGCAGAAAACACTCCAGACCCTTCGCGGAGCCTCAAAGATTACACCTCGCGTCGAGTGGGAGTTCGTCCTCCATAGTGCCAAGCTCTACGACCGAATGGGTTGCGATCTTCTCGGCCTAGACTTAGGTAATTTCACCGCGACGGTATGCGCACGATTCAATGGATCTGACATGACAATAGTACGCAACTGGGAGTTTCTGAAGCCAGCCCCGCTTATTACGAATGGATTGGGCGGTGAGGTCAACCCGCTGAAGCTACTGCGCCGACGCAGCTCGCTGGTAGTTGCAGATCTGCCCGTATCAAAGCTTCATTCCGAGATGAGATCAAGCGGACAGGAAAGACAGTCAACTCCAACGGTTTTTCAGGAACCGGACTCAAGCTCGCTGCTTGATAGTTTCGGGTTCTAATTAGAGGAGCACAAAAAGGAACCGCTTCCTATTCCAATGCAATAGGACATGATGTACGATACACCGCCATTATCTCGTAAAATATGAATGTATGCGGCGGGAGATGATCTTCTGAAGACTTTAAAGGTGATGAGATCCCTCACAGACAGATTGTGGGACCAGAACTCAGCGACGGTCTCATGAGTAGAGGGACTTGTCGCTTACTAAGCATAATCACTATTTCTCCAGTCCCGTCTGAGCACGTCATCTGCAATTGTTGCCGAACTCCGTCCGGACCAGCACCGGGACTGGCCTAGTGCTCTTTGCTGGCTGACTGTTTGATGTTCCACTGGTGGTTACTTTAGGTACAAAGGCGAGTCGCGCAGGCCCCGATCCAATGTTAATTGGAACATTGTCATTATGGAGTAGTTGGTAAGGCAGCCCTTCATCGTGCAGGGGGATCCAGAAGATAACGATTCCATTACGGATCCCGTATTATCTCGACTTCGTGCATGCAGCGGTGAGGGGGACGTCGCCGTTTATGTCCATATGCTTGTTGTCTTATGTAATTGATCACCAGCCTCTATATTGTTTCATTGCGCACGAAGTTCCCTCTCAACTTTTGTTGGAGCGAAAGGAAGCTGGAACAACAAACCAGCGCCACCTTAACTCACCCTCACCCTGCGGCTCTAGTTATTTACAGGCACTCTCATGCACACGTCCGCTGGACGAATTACGATACAAACGCCAGGTTGGCCAGCACGTGCTTGACGCGTATAGCAGCAAGATTGTAAAACGCCTCCGAATACCTCGATTCTGGACATTCTGATCGACATTCTCACATTGCGGTGCTGCCCAGTCAGAGTGTACGACATTGATCATGGCGCCTGATCGGGGATACCGCGACGATGCCGATGACGATGTTCACAATACCGGCAGCGGCAGTAACAACACCCCAGTTCCATATGCTTCTCACCCTGAGAATGCCCCCGAGCGAGAGCCTGTCATCCACGGCCGCAGCTTCACCTTTCGTGGTGTTGCAGTCGGCCTGCTGGTCGGCTTGGTCATTTGCTTCTCCAACATGTATTTTGGATTGCAGACGGGTTGGGTGAGCACCATGACTATGCCGGCTAGCCTGATGGGTTTCGGCATATTCAAGGTCCTGTCTAGGCACCTGCGATTCCCATTTAGTCCTGTCGAGAATGTCCTCGTGCAGACTGTGGCTGGAAGCATGGCCATTATGCCACTTGGCTGCGGATTTGTCGGTGTAGTATGTCCCCCAGGCCCCAGGCATTGTGGCTTCTTTCCACAACTTGATGCGATGAACCAGACGAGGTCAATGGCTGACATGTCGCTTTTCCTTGTTTAGATCCCCGCCATGAACTATCTCTTGGATCCTGAGGAACAGGGGCCTCTCAACATCCCCCTGTGGAAGTTGATCACATGGTCTCTTGGTCTTTGTTACTTTGGTGTTGTCTTTGCTGTTCCCCTGTGAGTTGGCTGCAGATAACTTGCTCATCGACCTTCAGTCTAACCCCCAATGCCAGTCGCCGACAAGTCATCATCCGGGAAAGGCTCCGTTTCCCTAGCGGATTCAGTACTGCTGTTCTCATCGGGGTCCTTCATGGTCAGACGCGGAAGGCCGGCCCTGACGCCGTATCAGGCGGCTTCGCGAGTCTCGTACCCGATCATGACTCGAAGTCGGATCCGACACTGGGGTCTGACTGTAGCCACAACGTTACAGATCCCGAAAATGCCAATTCCGAGAGCCTCGAGAATCGCTCCCAGGATGATTGGGCTCAGAATGTGAGGCTACTTCTCATATGCTTTGGAATATCGGGCTTGTACACTTTGTCCTCCTACTTTTTGCCTGCATTGCGAAGTATCCCTATATTTGGCACCGGTGCCGCAGGCACTTGGCTTTGGACGCTGAACCCAAGCCCGGCCTATATTGGCCAGGGTATCATCATGGGCTCTGAGACAACCTTGCACATGCTGCTGGGAGCCGTGATAGGATGGGGTTTTCTCTCTCCGCTAGCCAAGTATCGGGGATGGGCACCCGGTTCCATCGACGACTGGGAGACAGGCAGCAAGGGCTGGATCGTGTGGATCTCTCTGGCAATTATGCTAGCGGATGCCATTGTCAGCCTCAGTTACATTGCTTTCCGGCCCTTGGCCCAGCACGTTGCCAATGAAGGTGTGAAGGGTATGTGGCAGCAAAGTGTGCTAGGTTGGCAGAAGCACTTTGGGGCCAGCCGACGTTTCACCCTAACGTATACTGCCCTGAACACGGATGAGGATGGAGAGGCGACGAGTACCTCCCGGCTTCTGTCTGAAGAGGCGCAATCCTCTGTGGTCCGCCGCCGGATTTCGACGTCGAGTGCCAGCGATGGTCGCGCCGACGAAGCAGACGCACCAGAAGACCAACAAATCGACAACAAGCTTGTTGCCGTGGGACTGGTCTTATCCATACTGCTCTGCATCACCACTATACACATTGTCTTCGGCGACCTGGTTCCCCTCTACGCCACGATCGTTGCTGTCCTAATGGCTCTCCTGCTCAGCATCATGGGTGTCCGAGCACTCGGTGAGACGGATTTGAACCCCGTATCCGGCATCAGCAAGCTTGCGCAATTATTCTTCGCACTTATTATTCCCCAGTCGCACAAGTCCAGTGTGCTTATCAACTTAGTTGCGGGTGCAGTGGTAAGTGATCTAATAAATAACCTTCAACTTCGTAGTCAAAGCAATCGCTAACTGAGCCTTCTAGTCCGAGGCCGTATGTCATTTGATGCTACGCTACTAATTTGACTGGAATTGACGCTGACTTGCCGAACTTAGGGGGCTCTTCAAGCGGGTGATTTGATGCAGGATCTCAAGACAGGCCACCTCTTGGGAGCCGCCCCTCGAGCCCAGTTCTGGGGCCAAGTAATTGGAGCAACAGCAGGCGCTGTGGTCAGTGCCTTTGTGTACCAGCTCTACACGGCGTGAGTCACAATGCCAATACCATTGATTTCCCAGAGACTGATCGACCTTTATCAGAGTCTATACGATTCCGGGAGATCTCTTCCAGGTCCCAACGGGATACGTATGGATCTTCACAGCCAGGCTAGTGACGGGCAAAGGCTTGCCGCCCATGGCTCGCGAGTGGGCAATTGGCTTCGGTATCATATTTGCCTTCACGACAATTGTGAGGACCATGGTAACTGGCAAGCCTTGGCGTTCCCTTGTGCCGGGAGGCATTGCCGTGGCGGTTGGTAAGTGTGACTTGAAAATATTATCTCCCCTAAATCAGAGGTTCGGGGCAAGACTGACCTAGAGATGGTAGGAATGTATAACGTCCCATCATTCACCCTGGCCCGCACTGTTGGCGGCCTTTTAAGTTGGTACTGGGTCTCCAGGCGAGGCGAGTCGAGCACGCCATTGATTGTACTGGCATCAGTGAGTCCTGGACGGTGCCCTCACGCGAACAGGAGTGGTAGCTGACGCAAGCTATGTTCTAGGGCTTTATACTCGGTGAAGGATTTCTCAGCATCGTGAATCTCATTCTACAAAGCATTGGTGTTCCTCACTACTAGAAGCGCAGGCATGAAACGACGTTTGCATGGCCAAGGTATACGAGGTGTCCGAGGCCAAAATGATTGGAGTGAGGAACATGAATAGAGGAGGCCGAGGGAGAGACTGGGGCACTGAAGGAAGTCCTGGAGAACAGCGGAGAATGACAAGAGCAACAATTTCCATATTGAGGTGGTCGTCATGACAGGAGCAGGAGGAAGATGAATGCACTAATTTTTGATTTCTTTCCAGGGATGTACATGCTTTAGAAATTCAACCCGCGGGTTTTAGTTCTCGTCTGGGTCAACCCCGCCCCCCTTTTCCTTCCTTTCTCCCCTTCTCCATTGGGCTAATGGAGTCAATTTGACTTTTGTGGTGCTGGTATGTGTAATATTTGATCACCAGATTAGACAGTACGATGTGAGGAGGCTGTGGGTGCCAAAATGGTAGACCAACCCGCCTCAGTTCCCCCTTGTCCTATTACCATTACGCCTTCTATAGCTTTGTTTATCCTTTTGGATCTCTTACTTAGGCTGTTGCAGATATATCATTAAGAAGAAATGAAGACGTAGAAGAAAAACAGGATACTAGCAACAATACTGCTGATAGCAGTAAAAACAAACATCTGAATGTTGTTAACTTGGGCGGCAGATCATTATGTGACCCACTTGAGGGGTAATGGAGGGGTGGAGGGGTAACAGGCAGTCAGAGAGGGGTAGGAAAGGGAAAGGGCAATATTTGACCAAATTTCGATCAAAAGAAGAGAACAGGGAAAAAAGACCTACGATAAAGTCAAGGGATGGGGGCGCGGGGAGAAATCAAATCGAAAAAGGCGGCGTCTAACAGCGTCTCTTCCCGCCCACTCACATAAGGTACTTTATCAAGGATAACCTGCCAATCCAATGTCAACATACCTAGGTAGAGAGTAAGGTAACTAAGGCAGCCATGGACTGAGGTAGTCCGCCCAGCTTCATTGGACGAAGAATTCAGTAGGTACCGGCCAGCGTGCCTGCCGGACCCTTCCACGGTTCCAAATTATTTTATTGGGCCCCAGCACAGTCCCACAAGCTTAGAGAAGGAGGAAAATATCCAATCCCTCACTCAATCTCTCACCCGACTCCAAGGTGACATCAACTTGAGCAAGGCATTGCCACCAAGAATACCCGAAAAAATAACTCATTGACGAGGAAGCCCGTGGCCTGCACACTTGCACTTGTTTTGTTTGTCAAGGGGCACGAACCATTCAAGTCGACCTAAAGGTGAGCAAGGAAGAGAAGAAGTCACAGAAGCAAATATCGACTCAGCCTTCAAACATGACCCAAGACGATCTCAAGAACGGTGCTCGCGCCGCCTCCGATGTCTCGTCTGATGAGTCTGACTGGGACGACGCGGAGCCTGAAGAAGAGGAGGCACAATCCTTCATTTCCTTGCTTGACGATACTGTCTTTCCTGACGTCGATGCCATGCTGTGTCACTGCCGCACAAAGCACAACTTTGACTTCCTCGCCATCCGCCGTCGGCTTGGTCTCGACTTCTTTGGCACCGTCAAGCTTGTCAACTTCAGTAAGTCCGGGACCTGACACATAGTGCAGATGCATCACATCGAGCCAACAATCACTTCCTCCTTGAAGATTGAGGGCGTACTGACTCCTGCTTAGTTCGTCAACATATTCACGATGGCTCTGCTCTGCCCGAGACTATCTCTGTCGACGACATTGCTGACGAGCGCTACATGAAGCCCGTGATTGAAGACGACGCCTTGATCATGGCCCTGACCGAGCTGGATCTTGACGACGGAACGCCAGAGCATCCTCAGCAAGCGCCACAAGGTGTTGCCTCTCGGGAAGCTCAGCTTGAAGAAGAGTTGGCACAGCTTCAGTCCCAGTTCGCAAAGTACCGCAATGCTGTTGAGCAGACTCTTGACCAGCGCTGGGGAGAAGACACGCCCGTCCCAACCCAGGGAGAGAAGCCGCGTGATCCGGACGATAAGGGTGTTCGGAAGGATGAGTCTCAGTACTACTGGGAATCATACGCCTCCAACGGTAGCCGACGCTCATCCTGAACTTCGGCTGCTTTGTATGCTAACATTCCTTCCCAGATATCCATGAGACGATGCTGAAGGACAAAGTCAGAACAGACTCTTACCGTGATTTCGTCTACAACAACAAGTCTCTTTTCAAGGACAAGATCGTGCTAGATATTGGCTGTGGTACCGGTACGTCTCGCACCAAAAGCGACTGACAGCTTTGTGACCCTTCACATCTAAACCGTGATTTCTACGATAGGCATTTTGAGCATGTTCTGTGCCAAGGCCGGTGCGAAGCAGGTCTTTGCCGTTGACAAGTCCGATATCATCGATAAGGCCCGCGAGAACGTCTTCAACAACGGCCTCACCGACAAGGTGACCTGTATCAGAGGCAGAGTCGAGGATATCAGTCTTCCTGTCGATCAAGTTGACATCATCATCAGCGAGTGGATGGGCTACTGCCTGCTTTACGAGGCCATGATGAACAGCGTTCTCGTTGCCAGAGACCGTTTTCTGAAGCCCGACGGCCTCATCGCCCCGAGCATCTCCACCATCTGGGTGGCGCCCGTCTCAGATCCAGAGTACATCACCGACTTCGTTACCTTCTGGGATGACGTCTATGGCTTTGACATGAAGTCAATGAAAGAGGGCATCTACGATGAGGCTCGCATTGAGATCATGCCAGAAGACTGCATCTGCGGTACCCCCTCACAGATCTCATACATTGACCTGCACACCGTCAAGATCGAGGACCTAGATTTCGAGACCCAGTGGAAGTCAAAGGTGACCAAGGATGTTCCGTCACTTGACGGCTTTTTGACCTGGTTTGACATCTTCTTCACGACTTCTCGTAACGACTCGATTCCGGCAGATCTACCGGTCAAGGCCGGCGAGACCATTGTCACCAGACCTGGCGAGGTGGCCTTCACTACCGGCCCTGCAGGTCCTGACACTCACTGGAAGCAGGGTTTCCTGATGAATAAGTATCTTGAGGAGAACGCCAGTGTCACGGCCGGCACCGAGATTTATGGGCGCATTGTCTTCAAGGCACCCGAGAATAATCCCCGGGCGCTGACTATCAGCAATACTTGGACAGTACCAGGCCAGGATAACAGGACGCAACTGTGGAAACTCAGATGAATCAGTAACAGCCTCTAAATCCGCGATTTTGAGCCTCATCATCCACACGCAGGTCACCTTTGAACAAATGCCAGAGATTGATGCTAAATGTTCAGAGGCGTTGATTCTCGAGATGGACTTCTCATCCTGCCTACATAATGTCCGCCTTCTTGCCGGGCGTGTTAGATCGCGGCCAGGTTATCGTCCATATGCCAGCATGCTAATCGCAAGTCTCGCCGGCGTGGTATCATGTTCCGCGAGACGTCATGATACTGCAAAGGAGGGCCAGGATGAGCACAAGCAGGCAGAGGCAAACAAGCTAGGTGGATGCTTAGTTAAATCTCAACTTGAAGAAAGCTTTCAGCCTTGGAGTAGATAGAACTCTCAAGTATCGATGCCCTTTGATCCCACGCATGTGCACGTAGCTGGTCAAGATTAAGAATTTACAAGCATTTGGCTACTGAATCAAGTGTTTGACATGCTTTTTGGACCCTTGCTTTTCGTGTCTTCTTTGTCGTCGTTGTTATCGTCGTCGTCTTCGTCTCCGTCTTCTTCTTCCTCATCCTCCTCCTCGTCGTCGCTGTCTTCATCTTCATCTTCTTCGCCATCAGACACTGCTTCTCCCAGCTCCTTGAGCTTTGCCTTTTGTGCACTACGTTAGTCCGAGAGACTTGCTCATGTCTTTGCTTCTGACTTACCTTGTACCTGGCTGCCTTCTCCTCTAGGTCGCCAAACACCATGAGCAAATCATCAAGCTCGTTCTGAGTTGCCTTCCTATCCTCCTGAGCCTTCTTGATAGTAACGTCGTGCTGAGAACGACGTCAGAATACATGTATGTCTCTCAATGTCAAGGTTTCGGCAGTAAACTCTCGTACCTGGGTAAACCTCACTTGTGCCTCACGTAGGTTCTGCTCGAGCTGCTCCACACGGGCGTTTGCTTTAGTGGCAAGATTTTCCTGGTCATGCTCCTTCTTCTCAAGCTGCTCCCGAATGGCTTGAATTTCCTGCGCCTTGGTCTTCTTGGCCTGTGAAAGAGTCAGCCTCACATTCAAGCAGTATCGTGGATACTTAGTCACCTTCATAAGGTCAACCTCAAGACGACTTATGGTGGCCTTGAGATCTGCCATGTCCGCCTCCGCCCGGTGGCGAACTCGATCGGCGTCCGACTCGGCTGTCTTGCGTACCTGCTCCAGCTGCTTGCGATGCTCCTCAGACTGCGAGGCGGCCTGGGCATTGGCGGTCTGCCGTGCTTGCTCAGCCTGTTTTTCAAGCTCCCCCTCGAGCGCCCTAACGCGGGAAGCTGTGTTTCTTTGTACTTCCTCAATTTGCCTCTTGTTCTGTTGCTCGAGAGCTGCGACGTGAGTGGCTGCCCTTCGCTGTTCCTCTTCTAATCGCTTGCTGTATTGCTGTTCCAGAGCCGCTTTTTGAGATTCAATATTGCGGTTTATCTGCTCAATCTGTTTTTTGTGTTCCTCCTGAAGGCTTGTGATTTTACTTTGCAGATTCCTAAATAATTGATTCGTGAGTGACATTACTGGAAACCCATTGTCGAGACTTACCGTAGCTCTGCGTCGTGTTGCCTTTGCATTCCTTCGTTGACTTGATTGATTCTGGCCATTTCCATGGCAGTGGTCTCCCGAGTTCGCCGATGATCGGCTTGTTCCTGACCGAGATGTCGACTGACCGTCTCCAGGCTGACTTGAGCCTCCTGCAAAGCTTGCTGCTTTTCGGCCAGTTGGCTCCGTAGTGAGTCCACAAGCTCTCTGGAAACCCCCGTCTGGACACCATTCTTGACCACGGAAATTTCCAAGCCGGGATCTCGATCGATACCACGCAATATTCGGCTATAGTTGTCCTTGAAGAAGTCGATAAATGTAGAGTCAAAGTAAACGTCTGGCAGACTGCCTAATCCGGAATTACTGAGATTCTGAGGAATAACCTCGAAATCCCTAACCAGCGGGTCGCTTCTCAACTTAGACAGCTTGTCGATGTATCGTTCGCGGCCCATGCGTGAAATGAGAATGGAATGAAGATCAGCTCGGGGAATTGGTGAGTCCTTGGTCGAAAATTCATATAGAACGCCCAGCAGCATCGCGCAAAGACCCTGAACAAGGTCGCCAGTTGCGTATGGATGGTTCACTGCCTGTATAAGGCTTTGAGTGTTCGCCCCTTCTCCAAGAAAGTCGTTGACCGCATCCAGGTCCTCGAACAACCAGCAAAGGAGTAGCATAAGGTAGCCAACGACAACCCGGCTGTCCTCGTCCCGGTTCAAGCCAGATATCAGATGAGCAGCAATGGTCTGGATACTCGTGACAACTTCCTCTCCGCTTTCAGCATCGCCTTCTGAGACAGCCATGACCAGATTTTTGGCCTTTGGATTATCAAAAACCAGATGCATCATGATTGTGGAGGCAAACCAACTTCGGTAAGGATTAGCGACGGCCGCGTCTGAAGAAGGCCGCAAAAGCACCGTAAGGACATTGGCCGTCTCGTCAGCTCCCATGCCATGTCCCTCAATCGCTCTCCGCAGGAAATGTAAGCGAATGTCTGCATGATTGTAGAAGTACGCCTTGAGACAATCGCACGCGGCTAAACGTAAATCGAACGCCTCTAGATCCTGAACGCTGAGAGTGAGGTCCAAGAGACCATCAATCACATAAACCTTGACGGCGCCATTGGCTTGCCCTGATCTGGCTGATGAAGGCGATTCGAGAGGAGACGGGACTTCAAGCTGCGCGAATCCTTCTTGGAGGCTCGGGTTGCCCTTGATGATGTCGGCGCAGGTTACTAGAGCCTGCAGGCACCTTCTTAACATGATAGCACAAAGATCAACGATGGGAGACAACCAACCTCGGCCTTGATTGGAAGCTGGGCTACATGGCTGAAGGCCAGTTGTAGGGCGTGGAACAGCAAGCCATGTTGCCAAAAGGCAAGCTGGTTCTGCGGCGTTCCCACAGCCCCTGCTACTAGAAACAGACGAACGACAGCTAGAAGCGCGTATATGTTCCGGTCACGCTGGGCCTGCGCCCACGCTGCAATCTCTGCTTCCACCCGCTGAGCCTTCTCTGCACCCTCTAGTAAAACAGACAAACGATGGATACCGCCCGATTCGCGGAACAGGGACTGATTTGATGGGTTCCTCCTGAGCAAGTTTGCGACTAGAATCAGGCAGTCCTCCACGACACGATCCCCTTCGGGAAGAGAACCTTCTGCAGAAATGATGCCAAAGAGTCGATCAAAGGCATTCTCGAATGCCACGAGTTTCTGAATATCGGTCGACGAGGGTGTGAGAAAGGTGAGGAGTGTAATGGCTTCGTTTCTGACGGCCTCGCGGCTGTCGTCTAGCACAGCGACAAGGCGAGATATTCCCAGAGGGGCAGTGAAAATGCATTCTTCTGTACGCTCGGTTCGGGCAGAAAGGATGGCAGCTAGCAGCTGGAGAGAGTACAGCCTCGAGTAGAAGTCGGTGGAGTCGAGGAAATCTAGAAGGAGAGTGATGTTCTCCTGGCGCTGTGTGAATTCGTCAGCAAGCCACAGAGCAATCTCCTCCGAGGCCTCCGGACTATCTTCGTTAGGACTGAATAGCATGAGCAGGGTCTCGAGGACGACCTTGACAGTGTCGACATCTTCGGCATCTTTGCTCAGGCTGCCTATCAGACTGCGAAGAGCTCCAGAGGCGACAGAGGCAGGGAAGTCCTTTGCAAAGCTGCGCAAGCCGAGTATAGCAGCACGACGATCTTCGAGGAGCGTGGCTGAGCTCAGTCGACCGCTAAGGATGGTGATGGTCTCACCGACCGACTGCTTCGCCGGTGCAGTGGAAATAGAAAACATGCTGTCTTTTTAAGTGCCGGCCATCGGGAGCTAACACAGACGACGAGGAAGAAAGATAGAAGTGCAACGTTAGAGACAAAAAGCTGTAGACAGATGGGTCATGTAGAGGTAGAACGAAGCATTGGGGCAACCAGGTTGGGCTGCTGTTGTGGAGAGCTTTATTTCGTCGCACGACGAGAGGCCTGGGACTTTCTACATCTACAGGCACGTATGAGGAATGTTTACGAAAGGTGTACTTTGGAAGCCTGGTGAACTGATACGGAGATATACCGCTTATATGCAATATTCACAGCTATATACTCCCGTCACTGGAATAGCAGGAGACTGCCTAGCGAAGTATCGGGAATATTGAAGAAGCAGCACATCATGTTACATGGCCATAACCTTCGGGGGAGCTCGCATTAGTCAGGAGCTACGAGCAGTACTGGACCCGAATACCTACCTTAGTACCTTAAGGTCCCTGCCTACCTACTTGAGGCACCTGCCGTGTGGATGTACCTACGTACCTACCTTAGCCGGCAGCGACCGCAAAAGTGACGCTCGCCCAGAAACCTCTGACTGAGACCTAGCTAATGATGACCTTGAATCTAAGGTATTACATCCGACCGTGACCCTCCCAAAGCCAGTGTTCATTGTTTGCGCAACGGCACCCTGTCCGAATGCATTACAGTGCCTTGTCTCTTTCCCCCTCGGAGAGAAATTGGTCCAGCACAAACCCATGGTAGGCGCACTTTGTTCTCTTGCGCAAAGAAGTCTCGAATTTTCATTCTAGTTGCTACACCACGTTCGTCTTCAATCTCGATTCCGCGACTCCGAACCATCGCATGCTACATCATACCAACTTTTCTCTCCCTCCCTCGGTTTACAGCCAAGCTCCAGCGTCCATGCGTCATAGTCTTCTTAACATAATCTTCTTCTGCGACACGAGAGCTACCTGCTCTCGTCACCCTTTGCGCCACGAAATCAATACATAAGCTTTAAACCCGCCTTGTTGCAGATACTTCGTGTATTTGAACATTGTCCAAGATGGGTATTCCGGCGGCTTTCCGATGGCTGTCAAACAAGTACCCCAAGATCATCTCCCCAGTCATCGAGGAGCAACCCGTCAAGATGGATGATGGATCAGAAATCCCCGTCGACACAACCGGGCCTAATCCGAATGGCGAGGAGCTCGACAACCTGTATCTCGACATGAACGGTATCGTCCATCCATGTTCTCACCCCGAGGATCGCCCCGCCCCCAAGGACGAGGAGGAGATGATGCTTGAAGTTTTCAGGTATACGGATCGTGTTGTCAATATGGTTCGGCCGCGGAAGCTGCTGATGATTGCTGTTGGTTGGTCCCCCCCTCCCTTCCCATATCATTGATTTCATCCGTCGATACCGTTGCTAAACAAGATGATTTTTGCGTAGACGGCGTCGCGCCACGTGCAAAGATGAATCAACAACGATCTCGGCGCTTCCGGTCTGCGCAGGAAGCCCAGGAGAAGGAAGAGGATAAGCAAGAGCTATTGAAGTTATTGAAGCAGCAGAATGGTGGCGCAGTACCCGATGACACGCTCGAGGGCGTCACCAAGAAG